AGGTCTCAAATAACACAGAATGTCCAATATACAGTGTCGACGATAGTCACTTCACGACGATCGGACGGAATCCGGCGTGTTTTGGGGAACATGTAGAAGAGAGCTCCTTTTTTGCACAGCTTCATAGCAAATGAACGAACGTGCTTATTATGTCGCCACACCCCGGACCCGACCCTATCAGCTAGTTTTTGCGAAGACCCGGAACACAGCCTGGAAGGCTTTTTGGAGATTATCTCGACGGAAATAATCCTCCAAGCACGTCGAACTGCCCGCGTCGCGGGCTGCTTGACGTTCGCTCTCTTCGTTCGTTTCCTGCGAAGGCCGAGCGGGCTACGAGCCCTGGTATTCCCTGGTTCACACACTGGAAGATAACATACAAAGGGTAAGCATCCTAAACAGGCGAATAAAATAAAAACTTCCAAGAAAAGCCGGCGAACTCCGAATGCAAAATGCAGGTGGGGAGTCATGCTGGCCGGGTTTCCACAGCTCAGGCGGGTGCCAGAAATTTCTGGCTGATAGGGGTCGCTCGATTCGCAAAATGGCGGCGGCCAGAGCGCTCTTTTTGGAAAGGTCTATACAAAGGTTTCCCAGAAGGCATTACGGCGCCAATGAAGGGCGCTCGCTTCGCAAAAGCGTATGTCTTCGCCCGGCGTGCGGAGGCATATAAGCGAAACTTCTTGGTGCAAGCAAAAGACCACAAGTTAGTACTGGGAAACACTATAACAAGGTCTCGAGGGTATGTCAACGTCTTACTTTGCAAACATTCAGAACTTGCAACTTCTCTTCCGATTTTATTCTTTAGGCGAGGCGCTTGACGTTAAAGGCTGTTCTTACCCTGTCAAGTATCCTAGCTTTCGATAATATCGACTAAAAGCATGTTATCAATGGCGACTTCAAGCCATAATTTACCGCGTCCTTCAAGCTGACATGTAACCAATAAAACAAAAAATAAAAGAAGTGTGACAGCGTATGATAAAAAACTTCCCTGCTTAAAAAGAAAAAAAGAAAAAAAAAGTGGAGAAGGAAAAAAAAGTTTTTCCTGCTTCCCGGATTCCTGGAGAAAATCATTTGTCAAGCCCAAGCATTACTTCCAGTGTCTCCGCTCTTAACCGAAGCTAAGATCGCTTCTGCTCCAGAAACACGCGGAAACTATACTTTAACACCGCCTTAAAAAAAAAATATAACGCATAATGAATTGTTTCTGACAGTGTCAACTACTTTCAACTTATCCTCTTTATTTTATAGGCCGTGCACTTGACTGCAGTATAGAGTCTACACTAAATCCTCCGAATTAACTTTCTCTCTTCCTCTCCCAACTCCGACTCAGATTTCAAGATCTTACGCGTTCCCGAGACAGTTTCCACGAGTTATAATCACAGAAAGGATGAGAAAGGCAGGGCGGCGTCGCTTTCCGATGCCCGTGCTTCATGCAACACGCGCTCGCTGCCTTCCACCGTGCTGCGTGTGCACGCTCGAGGTTTACCAGACGCCGAAACGTTATCGATGGTAAAAAGGTCACGCTGAAGGCGGGAAACACGACAGACTTGCCCGCCGTTCTAGCGCCGCCAACAACGAACGTTTGAGAAGTAAAAACATCTACTAACCATTCACTCCGCGTCCGTGCTCCAACGACACACGTCGTCTAAAACAACGCATTTACTATTGGCGGGTTCCTTTCAAAACGATTTCGATTCAATACTTAAAGTATAAGAAGTTCAGAGAATGAAACGAAACTACCCTATCGAATTAGAATGCGTCTACGCGTGGAATGAAAAGTGCCTCCACAGTTGAACCCACGACCTCCTCTATAATGTGGTTGAACCACCGATCTTTGCGCTCTTCCGAAAATTGATTAAACGTACACATGGTCCGATGTTACCTTCTCGATTACAAACGACCGGCCAGCGCACCTAGACAAGCAACTATAAGCTTGGTATATGGATCTCCCGGTAATCATTTCCTATCGCGTAGCAATCGCGTTTAATAAACCGTACGGTTCCTCATAACACCATTAATAATGCAGTTATTTAGATGTATAGCAACGCGTTTAAAGCCTCGTAGCGCCAGGTGAAACCATAACGAGACGAACATTTATCACGTCCACATTCAAGCGTACGCGGAATTCTTCTTTGACTTTTATTTTATTTTTCTCTAGCAGGATAGTCGATATACGCTTAGAGGGTTAAAAAAAAAAAAAACACGAAAGGGTATCAATACAAACTTGAATACCTTAATCGCAAATGGAATTCGTAAAAGAAAAGTGTAGGCAGCCTAGACCGTTGCAAGAATAAATTGACTGCCACTCGAAATGGAATGTCTGTGTGGCCGCTGAAAAAATCCGCCCGGTACGGGACCCGATCTCGGTACTTCTCCGAGACTAGTGGAAGGCTTTACCGACTGAGCTAACCAGAAGGCTAGCAGTTAGCAGTGTAAATGGACGTTAATCTGTTGCCACCGGTGTTGATCGAAGCCACCGCAAGGGTGATATCAGACGCCAATTATTAGATTTACTTAAACCGCATCCGATCCGTATCCGCAGACTTCGAATCCGCATCCGAACCGCATCCGACCCGCGATCCGAGCATTGATGTTACATCATTAAATCAAGCGTGAATTAAAAATATTTTAAAAAAAACTGTCTGGGTGGTACCTTATAAGCTCTTTGCTTACAAGAACTCTTCGAGACAGAGTGCGGTGAACGTCATTATCATATTTTGTTTTATCGTATTTGTATTATATACGATCACCCTTCCAAAGACACTTCGCGTCGCTGGAAACACGATCGCAGTTATGACATCGTCCTGGGAGTCTGCGACATTCTGCCCAAAGCTAAATAAATAAAAAAAAGTTTCATATTTTTTTAACATTTATGTTAAGCAGGCGCGTTACTTTCTAAACATGAACATGTATAAAGGACATGCTAATAATATTGCGCCATTTTATTTAGATCAAACAATAAAAAAAAAATGGGAAAGGAACAGCGGCCACTCAGCGCAGAGAAATAGTAGAAGCAAGTACATCACTGGGAAAATATCGAAATATTCAATACTGGCAACACCAAATGCGTTTAAATTTTTAACACAACCCCAAAATGCGTGCTCCAAACCACATACTTATCAACAAATAATCACCTGTAAAAAATAAAAAAAAAACTGCAAACAGACAACGTTTTACTTATCGAGGAGGCTTCTACTTTCCTGTAAACTGTACCTTTTTCTTTCTTTCTTTCTTTACCAAAGCACGTTTTCCTTTTTTCTCCCTGCCAAACAAGAACACACTTTCCCAGGACAATTGATACTCTGCATTATTTCACTTTTTCTAGGGACAGCATTTCTGGCGAGATTAGAATGCTCTAAAGCGCTCTTTGGCGAGAATCAAGTCTATCTTAGCGTAGAGAATAATTTTTTTTCCGACTGGCTCCTTTTCTCAGAGAAACTTGCTCTCACGAAACATTCAATGACGCACTTCGTAGCATCCCTTCTTTATTCGCTCTACACTCTGAGGTCGCACACGTTTCTGGACCGCCTCAGCAAAAATGTAGATCCGGACCCGGACTTCCGGAACTGGACAAGTGAAGGACTTGTACCAGTGAAGGACCTGTACTAGTGAAGCCGTACCTCAGTCACACCCACGGTGCTGAAGTGTAAGAACAGCGCTCCGAGTGGCACTTTGACGTCGGCAAACACTCCTTCGAAGTACGCATCAAACCCACAATGTTCTAGTCTCTGGATACCATGGGCAAGAGTTACAACGTCCTAAACAGCGGCACGGTATAGCTTTCGCCACAAAGCTGACGACAACGGCCACACCGCGCTCACAGACACGTAGAGCGGAGTCGTCTTCCGAAGGAACCATAACAAGACAACGACGAGCGAACATCCACGGAGCACTTAAAACCCACACTGACGCAATAAAAGCCACCCGCACACCATCACGACGAGCTGCATTATGACCACGAAGGGCGGCGTTGAACGAGCAGAGAGAATCATCAAACAGGTTGGAACCCGACGAAGAGCTTCATTAACGCGATAACGGGCTCCCTTCCGTGCGGGAAAACGTTCCGTGCGTTTCTGAGAGCGGACTATGTAGTCCGTTTCACACCAGAGTCGCCGTCAAGTTAAGAAACGCAGAATGCGGCGAGCCGCAAGCGTCTTAGTATCACGAAACAACCAATTAGTCTGCGCCATTTCCCGACAAGTACGCCGAAAGACGAATCACGAAGCAGCAGCGTAGTAGCAGGCCGGCACAATTAGGCCCAGATAATTATCTCGCTGTTTTCAAATAAACGCTCGTTCGGAATCACGAAGCGTCAACATAACCGTCGCCTCATGTGTCTTAGTCTGTTAAGAGGACTATGAGTCTAAGCGAAGCCGGCGCCACGCTTTGAAGGAGACAATCAAGCAACAATGCCAAAAAGTTCATCGTCACTACTGCACTCGTCGTCTTTATGCGTGAGCTCTTCCCGGCTGAATTAACAATCACGCGCAGAAAACAGGCGGCATCACGGAGCATTCACTGCGTATGAAGCGCTTCGAACGCGCTTAATGAAAGAAGTGCATCGTCACGACGGCACTCGTCGTCTTTATGCGTGAGCTCTTCCCGCCTAAACGAACAATCACGCGTAGAAAACAAGCGGTATCACGGCGCATTCACTGTGTACAAAGCGCTTCGAACGCTTTTGATAAAAAATGTGCATCGTCACAACGGCACTCGTCGTCTTTATGCGTGACCTCTTCCCGGCTAAACCCACAATCACGAGTAGAAAACAGGCGGCATCACGGCGCATTCACTGTGTAGAAAGCACTTCGAACGCGCTTGATACCAAAAGTGCATCGTCACGACGGCACTCGTAGTCTTTATGCGTGAGCTCTCCCCGTCTAACTTCAAACAATCACGCGTACATCATGTCCGCATCGAACACCATGTGTCTTCTGCGTGTATGGTGTACGAGCGGTGTGTAACGGCGGCTTCAGCGCTAAACCGAAACCGAGATAACTGACCTGCAGCACGGCGATGACGAGCACCAGAAGCACGATGACGCTTCTCCAGATGGCCGGCATGTTGGAGGAAGGCTCATGCTACGCCCATGGTTCGGATGATGTGTCTCTCGCCGCCGCTGCCGCCGCCATCGACAGCGTCACCGCCTGAAAGAAAGATGGCGCTGGGTTACTTGCGCGCTCCGACTGGACAGTTGTAGACGCTGGCAGAATGGAAACGGCAAGGCCTTTTTGGGACGCCAAACATCCGGCACGCGCTCGTTGTCTTTTGTATAGTGAGTGCTTTGGCTGTGCGTGTTGGCTCGAGGCTCGCGAGACGTCGAAGCGTTACCGAAGGTACGCAGAGCGCAAGTTCGTCTGCTTCTTTTGCAGGGATTGTGGTGACGTCAGAACGCCGAGCTCTGATTGGTCCTGAAAGAAAGATAGTAGGTAGACTTCAAGGCAGCCTGCTTTGAGGTCTACCCTATCCTTCAATCGCAGGCAATCGGAGCTCGGCGTCCTTCTGAGAGTCACCGCAACTCTTGCGCAAGAAGCGGACGACTTGCTCTCCGCATAGGAAGCCCGCGCTGGAGGCGGAAAACTAAGGATTTCTCTGCCGTTGTCATCCTGTCAGTGAATACACTCGACTTCGCTGTATATTCAAGCACAAAGGTAGAACCACGCTTGCAAAAAAAAAAAAAGGCAAAAAAGAAGAAAGAATGGGTTCTGAGTACGGAGTTCCATAAAAGCGTGTTCTGTGTTCCTCTCTGCTCTGCAGGTCTTCATTCTACGGCTTTCGGCAGGACGACAGACATGACGTCGACTAAGAACGCACACCTGTGACGCTTTGGGGGGGGGATGCGTGGAAAGCTGAATCGCCCTCACTGAGTGCACTGACGTCACATCGGCAGCCATTGTTGTGTCCTCGCTGCTGCGCGCAAATACCTTCTGGAGCATGCATTTCGCGGCATCGAGTCTTTTTCTCAGCAAGCACACGGCCACCAGCATAATGCGACGACGTCACGTGCAAGCCATGTACACTTGCGTTCAACGCACAGCCGCTGTTTGAGCTCCAGGCGAGAAAATTAAAGTAACAACCATCCACAGACTAAAAAAAAAAAAGCGTAAACTGAACGAAAATTTTAGGTGTGCTCCGTTATCTCGACAGAGCGGACCTTGCTCTGAACAAAAGCGGGGTTGTTTCCTCTCCTATATTAGTTTAGATATACGCACTGCGTTATCAAACCGAGGCAGCAGTTTAGATAGCAGCGTTAAGCGAGACAGCGACGATTACTAAACGTGAGGATGTTTTCTCCTCTCAATAAAACGGGAAGTCAGCTCTTCAGAGATGCGCAGTAAAGTTTGCTGTTAGAAGAAATACTAGAAACCTTTAGCAAACCGTTGCCGTGTTCCGCGTACCGCACTACCGGAGCCTTTGAAGCATGCTTTTAAGCGTGCGCACCGGTGGTACCGTGACCGCGGTGCTTCAAAGGCTTCGGTAGTGCGGTACGCGGAACACGGCAACGGTTTGCTAAAGGTCTTTACTAACGCGAAGCCTCTGCATTGTCAATGCACGCAGAAACTAGCAGGAACCGTTAAAATCGATTTGCTGAAAATCTGAGAGAGAGAGAGAGGAGTTGAAGATCCGTCAAAAGGGCCCCCAGTCTTAGAGCACTGCACGGACCGGAATTTTTAGGCCCGGCCCGACTCGGCCCAGTATAAGAGACAACGGCCCGGGCCCGGCCCGAGGCCGACAGATCATTTCATTTCTAGGCCCGGCCCGACCCGGCGCGGTAGAAACACTGCCCGGGCAAGGCCCGAGCCTGACAGAATTTTTAGACATAAGCCCCAGCACAACCCAAGCCCGACAATTTTTTTTTTTTTTAATATAAGCTTTAGTTTGACACATTATAAACACGAGCCCGAAAAAGTTTGCAGGCTTCAACCTAAAAACTGTCTTAAGCATAGAGCGCGCACTCTCCCACTATGCTAATAGAGTTCATACGTTCTTTTTTTTTTATCCATTTCAAGGTTTTGCAAATGCAAGAAGTCTTTTTTTTTTTTTTTTAGCAGTGCCGTAGTGACTTTGCATTTCGCTTGTTTGTCTCTGTCGAGCCTAAAAGATCAATGAGCACACTTTTTTGTAATCAACAATTTAGAATTTGCGGCAGACGACTGCCAAGGCAGGGCCCGGGCCGGCCCATGCCTACATGGCCCGAAAAAGATTTTGTTCAAACCCGAGCACGGCCCGGGCCCGAGAAAATTCGTGCTACCCGGCCCGAGCCCGGCCCGCCGGGCTCGCGCCTTCGGCAAGGGTGTTTTCTTTGTTCCAAGCCTTCGTGATCGGCGTCAAAGGTAGGATCGGTTTCAGGATTGTTTAATCAATTGGGCGCGTTAATCTGCCTATATTATAATTTTGACGGTACTGGCCATGGCATGTGTAATCTCTTGTACGCGTTTCAATGATGATTATGAGCTTGAAAGTTGACTTCGAGATTTTTTTAAAAATAAAGAATGTGGGACGGGTCATCGGGTCCTTTTCGGCGGCGTAGAACCGTGGACTAACCTCTGTAACTGTCTCAGCGAGAATACACCCAGCAAACTAACCACCGGTTTCGCATGGTACTCGACACGAACAAAAATACAAAGCAAGCAAGCACGGTCGTTTGTTTTCCTACACACCATCTCACTGTTTGCAAACAGAGTGATTGTACACTGAGGGCACCGCGCACGCGCACAAACGAACCTTCGTGACGAATAAATATTCTGTGCCCGGTTCCATTTACAGGTTTATGATGTCACCGTCTTGGCATGACGCTCTCAAACACGAGCTAACTGAAAAATGTATCATTTCTAAATATAATAAGAAAACAACAAAATGTTGTGTGTTACAGAGAGATACCGCGTGAAATGGATCATGATACAAGCCACACATCCGATTAGATAGGTATTAAAAACAATATGGCGCACAATGAAACACACAAACACACACACACACACACGCGCGTCTTCCTTTTTTTTTTTTTTTTTTTTTTTTTACTCAGATTTAACAGTAAGTGGAAATCTCCAACATCACTCAAACTTTTAGGTAGTTCTGTTCGTTTTGGGCGACTTGGTCTTTGGTTCTAATCATACTTTCATTGGCAGTAATTTTGTTAGCTTGACGAGCGTTCGAGCGTATCGGGGTGCGATTGACAATGTCCAGCTCGGTTGCTTCTTTGCAGCGCGGCTGAGTATTGCAAGGGAGCACGCTTTCCGGTGCCAAAGTCGAGGGGCCTGTAATGTTTGTCGAGAGTAAGAAAATCAAAACTCTTATTGCAACTCGATCATTTAGAACCCAAATTCTCAAATAAGCTCTTTAAAGGAAGAGACAACGAGTTTACACTGAGAACAATTGACGACGCCAAATGCTTATTTCCAAATTGAAAAAAAAAAAAAAAAAAAAAAAACAATTTCGTTAGAGCTTAAGCTTCAAATTTAAGACGGTCGGCTAATGTATCCACAATAAGTTATTTGCTTCTCGATGTAATCGGACCATATTACGTATCTTGCACACCGTTTCAAGGACCTGCGGTCGCCAAGAACGTTTGTCACCCTTTTATTCCAGGAAGTATATGCCATGCTACCTTCACCAAATTGACATTAAAACGGTACTATAAGTGTGCTACATTAAACGCATTTTTCCAGATATAGAGTAGAGAACAAATGACACACTCGAACTGGTTCATTCACACCAGAGTGCTTTAATGAGCACACACGCTGAACGTAATGTTTATATCGTAAAGGCCACGAAACAGATAGATAGTGCTATATGTCACGCTCACTTAAGTGTCAGTGGCGGTTTCAGGTGACATCCAGTCTACACGAAACAGCCTACCGCTCAGAAAAACAACAAATCTCAAAGTTAACAGACATCCTTCGCACGGCTAACGCCGAGGTTAGGTACCTTCTTCGAAGTTGCAATAAGACACCCTCAAAGTTTCGCCCGCTCGTGAACGTGAAAAGAAAGCGATTTCCGCTCACGATCGCCCGGTGTAGCCACTTCGAGCACGCGGAAATGGGGGACAAACAACGCCAGTGATCAAACGCCAGCGACGTCGAATCCGGAAAAAAAACCAGAGGCACCCCACCGCGCCGAAGAGGGATATTTACCAGAATGAACGGCCTAGTTTTTCTCCCGAGAGAACGTCTAACACCCGTAACACTCATCAAACAAACGGCTATTGTTCGTGCACACACAATCCCTCGTAGAAGAAGGAACTTTAAACAGCCGGAGCTTTCAACTGGCACACACCCCCGACAGCATCAAACGCACATGTCCGTCGGATGTTTACAATCCAGTCAATGAGCTGCTCGGCTCTCCGTCTGATCGGCGTTAGGCTTAAAACTCTCGGTGTTTGGAGTCCTTTCGCTAGAAATAAATGCCCGCCTCACCCGTTTTCGTCGACGTCCGTTAGGCGTGCACGTTGTGCGAGCTCCTGGTAAGATTCCGACGAAGTCTGGGGCTCCGGTGCGAACAAGTGGCCATGGTAATCCCACCAGACTGCACACTCCCAAATGCCCCCCACCGACGGCGCATGCCGCTTCCCCTCGATGCAAGCACGCCGTTTTTCTCCTCTCTTCAAGCTTTCGCCCTTTCCAGCCTCTTTGTCGCGTTCGACGAGAAAACGCAAACACGAAATGGCGGAGCTTTTCACCCTCGTCGTACGTAAACTTGCCCGTGACCTCGAAGTTATACAAGTAATACCGAAACCTGAATTGTAGCGGGTTGCTGAGGGTGTGTTAGGGTGAGTCGTACGACGTTCGGGTTGTGGAGGCGCAATAAACGAACGCACCCCGCGTGAGAGCGTCTGGGTTCGAGGCGCTGTTGGGGTGCGGCACGGTTTGAGGCTGTTCAAAAACGAGCCAATGGAAGCGCCGGTTCTTCTTTCTGTTCGAAAGCGGCGCGAAATACGAGCTGTCGTCGGACGGACGAGCAAGCACCAGAGATAGCCAAATTACTTTAAAAAAGCAATTAAATTATATTATTATTTACTTTTCTGAAAACTTTAAAAATGTAATGAAATTACATTATATTTATTTTCCGAAAGTAATGAAATTACTTTGACGTTACTTCTGAATGCCTTGCGGCAGTAATTCGTGCTCATTTCATTTAGCTTCTATCGACCAAAACACAGATCTTCCTGTTTACACCGCAACAAAATAGCCGTTTTGACGGCGCGCACGACAGAGGTGTTAAATATGATGAATAGCTTCTTTGGATGTGAGTCAAATAGAGTCGACTCGCCGGTTTCGCTGTTCATTTGACTGTGAAGGTCCTTACTAAAAGGGTGATATGTTTCCGTCTTCCTGATTTAAAAGAAGTTGTAGTCCGTGTTCTTACAAGGAGTCGCCACGTGGAACGTTTCCCTTCCGCCTTAGACGCAATCTGTTCGTATTCTCCCAAGAGCACTAGTTGACGTATTCCCGGTCATGAATTCCTATCAAGGAGCATTGTTCCCAAACACCATGGAGAGCCCAAGTTTTTGCGCTTTGTCACACAAAGGGGCTGGGTAATTGCTAGGAAGAACCGTCGCCAGTTGAGGAAAGGAATGGCGGGAGCTTCCTAAATTGTGCATTTTCCCAACAAACGAGTGGCGACATCTGCTAGGAGGCTTGTTCCCAAATAAACTTCTCAACGGAGGGCAGCGAGGCATACCGAGTGGCAAAAGTTCTGGGGCCTTGACAAGGCATTTGGAATTAACTATTGATTCCGGTCGTTTGTTGTTCACATGCAATGCTCGAAGCGTACGGTTTGACCTTGCTTGACGACAGAGCAAGAAAGCTGGGGATCTGTTTGTCCTGTCCTTTCAAATTTTAAAATGTGTTGACCTCACATGGGCATGTGCCCTTCGCCGGCAGGTAGCCTATAAGCCGTTCGTCCCTAAACTGACCGCGTGGTGGAACCTGAGTGGTTGTTGGAACAGTCACACGTCTATCTTTCACATCGTAACCACGCTCGCGTTCATACCCACGCGCAGAGAGTGGGAGGGGTGATGTGATTAAAGGAGGGCGTTTCACTGGTTCTGGTTAGCTCGTAGTTCTCACTGCACTGCCAGCTTAGGGATGAACGAAGTATAGTGTCGAGGTGATGACGTGACGCCATGATTTTGTCTTGACTGGAGTTTGCAAACCTCGGCCTTTCAGCGATGTCTCCACATAATCTTTTCTTTTTTGCTCTACTACAGTGGCCTGGGAGTTGTGGTGGGCTCACGGGACGGCTCGGCCTGACGCGTTTGATGTCGACGCGGCGGTGGCGGTGTAAGCGTTTCCTCTTGAAACTAGCACATATGGGGCAGACCAAGTCAGCCAGGCAGCTCTTACCAATCGTTTCTTGCGTGTTCGTCTCTGAATCAATCACGGTAACGTAACCATATAAATTTAAACATCCTAATAATAAAAAAAAATAAGTTTGACTTTCTTCTTAGGAGGAACCAGAGCCTCTGGGAGGAACCTACCGCTACGCCCCTAGCGGACGCTGGCTTCACCTCCGGCGTTTACGACATCGGCCGCCTCAGCGCAGTACACGGGGGAGATGGGCGGCGAGCCCACTACCCAACTTCTAGGGCACTGTAGCCTTACCAGCCCGCCTTTGTGAGTCTATTCTTCGTACAAGGCTTTGCGCTGAGGTGGCCGTCGTTCATTATTTCCTCTGGAGTCTCTTTCACATATTTCCCCATGCAAAATAATGTTTCTTTTCATTTTTTAAAGCTTGAAAACAAACTTTCTAATTTGGGACAGAACTATATTAGAAAATAATGAGTAATTTTCTCGAAATATTATTAAATTACCAGCCTAGAGAAGTAATTCATTACAGTACTCATTACCTCAAAAGTAGTTTAATTACTGTAATTCTTGGTAGGAACGCACACAACAAACTTTGCCGACACTTTTCATATCAGGGTTCCTAAACTCGTCAAACACAAACTTGGAGCCGAAAGTGCGCAGAGTGCACGTTAAATACGAAGTCACGTGATAGGCCAATCGGTGCGCTCCGTCAACTTCGGCCCCAACTTTGTATTTGACAAGTAAGAGGCCCTGAACTCTTGTTCTTTGTTGGTCACGTTGCCGGTAGCCGCCGCCGCTCACATCCATGCATTCGTGGGTCTCGACGGTCCACATTTTCTCATTGAAAATTCCTGAAAAAAGTTCATAAATTAGAGGCTCGGACCGCCATCCGGTCCGAGCCTCCAACGCTGCATTTGGGCGGAAACTGAGCGTTCAGGGATGCGTTTTTTTATTTATTTATTATTGATCTGTTCAGCTTTAGACTGACAGGGCAGCGAAGGTGACATGCAGGAACTAGCTCGCTTCCAAACACGATTTTCCAGCACCATACCTCGGTAAGCACGCTTCAAAGCAGAGATCTCGTGCTTGTAGCCTTCGCAGCTATCAAGTTTCAAACACTTACCTGTCCAGGAACTATACAGGGTGATTTAAAAAGACGCCGGGCTCTTTAAATCGACCGCAAAATTAGGTTTCTTAACCTATCGCGCTACGACTTTGTGTAGCGTTGCCCACAGATGGTGCACTTTTTTTTTTGTAAAATTTGCAAAGAGAGGAACTTACCTGAGGAAAAAGTAAAGAAAGAAAAAGGCTTAGCTCCGATGGAAACGCAGCGAAGCCACCGGTCTTCAAACAACACGGCGCCGTTTCGCACGGGAGACAAGAGATGGCGACACGAACGAGCATACGGCGCCGAGAGCCGGCGTCTTTAGCAGGCGAACTTTTCGACTCCAAAGCGGCGCGCGCTCCGCAGGCGGCGACAGTAGCAGAAACAAAAACAGGCGCCGTAACAATAAGGAACTGCAGTTCCTTTTTCTGCTAAATACGCCGGCTCTCGTTCGTTGGCGGCAGTTGGCGTCGCGACCGCTTGCGCCATCTCTTTTCTCCCGTTCGAAACGGTGCCGTGATGTTTGAAGACCGGTGACGTCGCTGCGTTTCGATAGGAGCTAAGCCTTTTCCTTTCTTTACTTTTTCCTTGGGTAAATTCGCTCTTTGCAAATTTCACAAAAAAAAAAAAAAATAATAATAATAAAAAATGCATTATCTGTGGGCAACGCTAAAGTGACCATATTCCTCGGGCCCCAAAGCGGGACGCGTATCGGGAAAAGGGGAGGGGGGGAGGGGGGGGGGGGGGGGGGGGGGGGGGGGGTATTGTGTTGTGAGACTTGTAAAGTTTAGATTTCGGTAACAAATCATACCTTTTCTTTATTTCGTATACCCCGTGTGCATTTTTTTCTTGCAATTTGCGTACTGTGTGGCTTGCAGCCATCTAATACATTTGGTTGGAATATGCCTTTAATATTAATGTATTGATTCTTGTGTACTATGGTCCATAGCACTGTTCACATGTCATACGCCAATTGAGCTTCAGCATCTTCTCTGTCGAGCATATCTTGTTCCTTGATCAGAGGAGGCACCCTCTCGCCGGTGCGATCTTTTCGTTTCACCGAATCTTCCATCTATCCGCTGTTCGAGGAGCAAAAGCGGGACAAAACGGCGTCCCACAAGCACGCTGGCGGGACAGCGGGACCACGGCCGGAAAAGCGGGACCTGTCCCGCCTAAATCGGGACGTCTGGTCACTTTACCCCGGCCCGCAACGCTGCACAAAGTCGTAGCGCGAAAGGTTAAGAAACCGAATTTTGCAATTGATTTAAAGAGCCTGGCGTCTCCTTGAATCACCCTGTAGTTTACAGGAATTTCGGATACCTGGCTTATTATGCTGCCATAACTATCGAGTCTCGACCTCATTTTTGAACACTTTACAAGTTGTACAGTACCTGGATTATCATGCTGCCATAACTATCAACCTCCTTTTAGAACACTTTGCAAGTTGTGCAGTACTTAATAAGTGCTGGTCACGGTGCAAATATATTGGTTGGAGAGTCAGAGGTTCACTTTCTTTTCACTTCCAACATAATGAAGGAATGTGGCATCAACAGATGGTAATCTGAAGTCATTCAAAATAAAACATTCAAGAAAATAAATGGTAAGTGTTTGATAAGCTCATCCCATGTAGAAATAACATAATTAGGCTTGGTCTTCTAATTATATCCTCAAGTTTTTTTGTTTTTACATAACATACCCATCCACCTGCAAGTTCAATAGCTGAACAAGCCCAATGAGACATATGAAGATCCAAAAACGGCACAAACCGACCAGAGGTAACCGCAACACGAGTTTATTGAACATTTATATACATATACATGTGTCCAACGCATAATCAACATCTTTTATACACCAACACAACGTCAACGACCGACCTATATATATGTATAGACCCCTTTGTTTTCAAAATATTAACTGGGTTCCCAACGCTCAACTATACAAAATAAAGCTTTCTCGGCACACACTATCCAGGAAGTAGCAGCTGCTGGAAGAGAGCCCCCAGTGGGTTTGGATTTCTCGTCACCGTACGTATGGTTCACGAAACTGAGATGTTTTGTGACAAGTACTGTACAATGGTCGCCCTATGCTCCTCAGTTATGTACACAACTCACGTTCAAGACCTTGCTCCACAAAGGTCAAACTATCCCGTAGACGTTACTCCACAAAAGCACAATCTCATTGGACAAAGGTCGGACAATCCCATAGACCTTACTCAACAAGTCCAACAATCCCGGTCAGGACGACGGGTGCTCACACCAACAGCACATCAAGAGCACATTTCGTAGAAATACAAATTCCAATCGGCATGAAGTTCCGTCAACCAGCAATTGCTCTGCGGCTCGGCATCAACAAATGCTTTCAGACCAGATACCACAAAGTCTTTATTGGCCGTGTACCTATCCAGGAGAGCAAATCCTTTCGTCTCTAACCTTTGACCATGGCATCCTTTAACTCTCAAACAACTCCTCTTTACTCACGGGTCATTTGTGTAGGTGCCAGTGTGCCAGCGACCATGTTTCTATCCACAAGTCAGTACCTGTATGCAATACCGCCAATGACGCTGAATGAACCAGTCATTGAGTATGACCATGCCGTGAAAAACAAAAACAACAATCCCTGCGTTGCAGAGCCACAAGAAATATTACACTGGCTTCATGTGCATCAGATGCTGTGGGAACGGAGAATGATTTTTCACTTCGCACCTTTTGAAGTAATGGTGCAATTTCTTTAAACACAGGGAAATATTCTTACACCAGGCCTGGCGATGATTCAAGTAATAAAACAGCAGACACTAAAAGGTTCGACGCACAAAAGTGGAAATCCGAGAAAAAAAAAGTTGCACGGATGATGGACGAAAACATAACCTTCAAACAAATTCAAACCTGAGCAAATTTAAAAGTGACCCATAAAAAGATGCTGGTGCGGTACCAAACAATTAAACATCAAAACCAATCACAGTGGGAAGAAATAGACACCAAAAAAGTAAATGTGCTGCCAGTTTGGAAATATTGAAAACATTACTTTTTCAAAGTTCATTTTATCTTCAATTTTGTTATCACAGTTTTACAAGACCACACACAAAATAGCTTTATCAACAATAAGTGTCGGTGTTTAAATGGTCACTGCTTTTGACAGAGCTGCACCGAGATCATAGCCTTTTGCAGCTAAAGCTCTTTTCACTCACACCACCTTAAACGGGACCATGAACTGATTTTGGGCAAGCACAACTACAAGGACACAAACCGACTTCCAATAAAACCTTTACGTATCGCGGTATGATCGGACAGTAAATAGCGAATTAATTCCGGAGGCCAAAGGAAAGAAGTTCAGGAACCTTTATTCCGTCACATACTCGTTCAATGTGGCCAAAAGGTTTTATTCATCACAGTGTTATATAGCATCCACTGTAAAGAATGAATCCCGTGCTTCTCTCAATTTCAGAGAGGAGAATACTTGGTTACAGTCAGCGAGCAACGTAAGGAAACTGTAGAAGAATACAGGAGGCGCTGAGAGGAGAACCTCTCAGTCCAGTCCCATGATGTCCCACATGCATCACATAATCCTGTTTCCCTTTTCAACAGTAAAGCGTAAAAAAAAAGTAATACTGAAATTTCCATTAATATTTCAGACACAAACAAGCACACCTGAACAAAGGTCGAAGTGTGCTCTCTACTGTAAGCTGCAAGGGTTTGTCCCAATCCTTATTCAAGCTTGCAAAATCGTTTCACGGTCCCTTTAAGATACGTCATCCCAATCACAAGGCATAGATATCACGAGGCTAAATTATCAACATCCGTTGCTATGCACAGGGCGTAACATGAAACACCAAATCTAGCGTAGAGTACGGTTAACACGGCTACGTCGCGTGTTTGACAAAGAGCGATATTGTTTGGCTGCTGTAAGAGAATTGCTTTCTAGTTGCAAAGTCCTTCTACGAGTGATTAAAAGCAGCCTATTCGAGTCTACTTCGACAAAGACAACATTTCTTCGAAAGTATCGGAAACAAGCAAGGAACGGCATCTCCTCTTTCAACGTTGCCGACGGCCAGAGGAAAACTGCGATTGAGAGCTTAGGCCGCGTCTCGAGCCGAAATCGATCGGATCTCGGCAAGCTTGGGCTATGTTGGAGCAATATTGAAACTCCAGGTCCGTGCTACTCGGAAAATGGATGTTCGGAAAACCACGTAGGTACCGTAAAATCCCGAGCAAACGTCCGCTCGAAATTTGGAGGTAATCGTGTAAAACTGGGGGATGGGCACTCCTTAGGTCAACAATGTGTAGAGATATGTCCTTTTGTGTATTTCTCGAATGTCACAAAATTGTGCGATGGGCGGATGCTCGGTATTTTAGGGTAGACGCAATGCCATCAGCCGTCCAAACTGCAAAACGCGTTTAGCGTTCCCAACAAGGCGCAGCTTGCTGTTCTTTCGGAAAGCACTTCCCCACAGACGCAGATGTGATACATTTGCAATGTCGATAAAAGTCCAGCATGCGGCCCCTAGCTTAATGACAAGACTACCTAAAATGAACGGTGTAATGACTGGGCTTCGAGAGCGTGGCAGACACCTTGGCTCACTGTCGCCCGGCTTTAATAAGTACAAAATTAACATTATCATACAAAAATTAAACTTATACTTAAAAAAAAGTGAGCTAACTTGCATTCTAAAACAGGTCCTTCCTTCAATTCAAACAAAAAAACAAAACAGTTCTATTACAAATCTCAACAAACAGGAAACAAACAGAAGTTCTTGCTTCGAAAATTTGATCTGATATACTGATATACTATGTATAAGTACAAAAAAAAAGTCTACAACCTACAAAAAAAAAAAAAAGAAATTATGTTCTAGCATTTTTTGTGACATTTTACTTTTAAATGGAGGAAATGATTACGGCAGTTCTAAATGTAACCGAGCACAAGTGAATGAGTCAAACCGCTATTGCTGACTCCCGGTGCAGTGATGAGAACGTTTTACCACGTTACTAACAGGCTAGAACTGCCTCAACAATGCTCCCGCCACTAGCGAGGGACAACTTGTATAGTCTCAGATAGAAAATACTCTCGGCACACCCGGCACTTCTAGTCAACAAATGCTCTATGCCATCTCTTTTGTGGCACTGATTCTAAACATGTTCGAAAACTATGAAACAGTACACACTCTGTGAACACAGTGTTTCCCTAATGTCGGTAAATTATTCCTTCTTGTAGTATTATCCGTAAAAGGGCTTTTCGTTGATTATAAGCATAGGTAAAGTTGCCTCAGAAAGTAGCTTTACTATTTCAACAAAGTGACCTTGAGTTGGTCAACAACATTCTGTAGAAGTTTTAACGTTCTTGAAACATAAAAAAAATGAGAAGACGCAAACACTTCAGAACTTTAGTTGCCTCTGCAGAGATCTTAGCTTGTACACTGATGTTAAGCCCCTCAAATGCTTTGAGAACACCAACCGTGTTTAAACATTTTCCCTGCACGCTTTTCAAACTAGAAATAACATTAACTCGAAACTGGAAGATCCAACTACAACTTCTACAACTTTCGCATATGTCACGTCGTAAATGTCGCGTCATAAAAATCTAAATGCCTTTCTGTCATCCGTTTCTTTTTTTCCCCACCATCCTTAAACAGTAGGTTGCATCAGTTACTTACAATAAAATATTGCATAAAACTCTAAAACAAAAAAATTTAATTGGAACAAACAAACACACCGAAACATGACCATTATGAAGGACTGAAAAGGTGACACTGATCACGTATCTTTTTAAAAAAGCACATGAAATGCACATGAGCACATATCAACATGAGGAATGGGAAATGGGAGGAAGTATGTACATACTAGTATCAAAGGTGCCTTCATGGTGAACAAAAAAAGTACAACCAACAAAACAAAGAACATGACACAACGTTAACGAAATGCCCCGCTACAATGCTGCCACTTAGAGAAGAGCACCTGTTCGATGATTAAATGTTAAACTTCGGTGTGCTTCACAAAACTAAATCAAACTATACCTACAGCGAAACTCTAAACCCCAGGCCACTTAGATTCCCTCAACTGATGAAACAATAGCGATGAAGCAAATGGGAACGGTGCACTTAAACAAAATTGTAACTTAGTAATATGGACATCACATCAAACATAAATCCACGGATGTAGGAAAAAAAAGTGAGGTGCCATGGCACGAATAATTGCTGCCCTTTTGCTGCCCCGTGGGCCAGGCCCGGCCTGCCTAGGCCTTGTGGCTGGCCTGCAGATGGCTGCAGGCTTGGCAGTGACGCCTGGCCCGCGGCCCACTGCTGCCAACGCAGAAATAAGCCCGCATAAAGAAACGGCGCCGAGAACACGCACCAAAAGCGCAAACGAAGATATCGGAAAAAATGAGTGAAAACTGCATTGAAAGTAGGGTTCTCTCACCATAATATTTATTGTTCCCCGTTCACCAGCACCACCATTCCAAGTCCCCCGTTTCACGTCTGTGTAACTGCCCTAAAATTTCTTTGCGTTCTCTTGTATACTGTGCTTAGAGTCTTGTGTCATAACTATTGCCTATTGTCATCATCAGGTCCACCGTCCTCATTAGTCTTCTGCCCTGTGTGAATATGACGAAGTTCCTACGCACTTCGATTTATGCCTGGCGAGTTTTGTGGCTCACAATTATTTTGTAATGTCATAATTATACAAACTGAATTTCAAAATAAAGTATATGCATTCATCTACCTTATATTTTTTTTATATAGTTACTCTAGTATGCGAGACAGATCCCCAAAGCTGGCCCCTTAGCCAAAACGTTTGGAAACGCCTTCCTCATTAGTCTTCTGCCCTGTGTGAATATGACGAAGTTCCTACGCACTTCGATTTATGCCTGGTGAGTTTTGTGGCTCACAATTATTTTGTAATGTCATAATTATACAAATTGAATTTCAAAATAAAGTATATGCATTCATCTACCTTATAATTTTTTTTTATAGTTACTGTAGTATGCGAGACAGATCCCCAAAGCTGGCCCCTTAGCCAAAACGTTTGGAAACGCCTGCCCTAAAACATTCTTGCTAAACGATGCAGTCAACTGGAAAGTTAGCAGCTTTCGACGCATTGAAAATACTGTGACCATATAAAGGGTCGAGAAGAGGGGGGAGGATGACAGTAAACTTCGAAGGGGGCACTCGGGTGCAATTATTGCTTCTACCATTCCTCGCAAATTTCAATTTCGGCTAAACCCTCAATGCATTGTCGTCTGCGACGACAACGCAAGACGTTTCTTTGGCGATGCCAGAACATTCTTGGAGCATAGCTGGAACAAGGAGGCACTGCTGCAGAGGTTAGAACTTTAAAAAAAAAAGATACAAAGAAAGTGAGATCGGTGGCAAGTAAAACGACGTGGCAAGCGCTACAAAAAAGCTCGAAACAGCCAAAGGAAACGCGACCCCACGTTTAAGAGTGTGGATACCATTGTCTGTTACAGGTTAAAGACCGACGACCAGTTCGCACTTTCCACTTTTTTTTGCCTCCTCCTCTCCCCCTTCTAAGCGGTTCACCGTTGCCTGTTTCCTCCTCAGTCATGGTGAGGAGGATCTTCTGCCTTGCAGAATCTCGAGTCTGGTCGTCGGCCTTTAAAAAAGGTAACACAAGTGCCCTCTCCACAAAGCTCTCAACTCTTGCCACTTCAGCAGAGCGAACGCTGGAGAGGGGGCAAGAGGAAAGGAGGAAACCACCAGTCAAGGCAAGCAGAGAGCTTCGTGGGGAGGGCTCGTCCTACAAATGTAAACCTGCAACAGACTATAATGCAACATCGCCATAGCAGTACCACGGCCGGCAAAAAAGCACGCCACACATGAAAGCACCTTAGACCAACACCACGCGGACAGAGAAGGAGACGCGCGACATCACCGGTGGTCGACGCACAAACCGAAATAACTTAAGTGTCCGCCACCCGGGGCCTTAGGAACGTGGGTGAACGACTGTGCACCATTGGCTGCCACGCAGGGAAGGCTCTCAAGTCTCACAAGTCCAGCCCTTTGGCCGGGAGGACGACGTACTCCTCCTGCTCACTCGGTGGGGAACTTAAAGTCGACGGAGGGTTCGGGGAATGCTGAAAGGCACAACAACAAAACGCCACGTGTGAGCGACAACACGGGACAACACGAGCAACGGGAAACCGGCAACGACACGACAAGAAACGTGACAAAATTGTGCAGGTAAAAATCGCTCGGAGATTACAAAAGAAAAAAACAGAAGAAGGAAGAAAGGAGAGTAGTAGCGAGTAGCGTTAGCTAAGCAAAACTCTGTTCTTGTGATGCGGTGACGGCTTTGAGTTGGTTCACACATTTGGGATTGGGTGCGATCAACCGCCTTGCTACCGCCTGTGACCAATGCATGGTGAAACCTACTGGGTTGCATTGGAGCCCTTCTTAGCCGCATATACATTATGCGTCACCTTCTGCATATTGTAGGAAGCCATTTCTAGTAGATGGTTTAATTATTGATAAATAGTTATACGCAGGTGGGACTTGTTCTAGTGCTGCCTCATAGATATAGTCGGTGTGTTCACCTGTCGCAAGCAGTTACAAGGCAGTCAATCCAACTCAAACGTAAACGTGTGAACCAGCCTTGATGAGCAGAAAACCATGATGGAAAGGGACTCCTAATTCTATCACATTGCAGCTCTAAATGAACTCAAGCACTGCATATGCTAGGCCTGGTCTAAATTACAGTCTTTACCCGGCTGTGCATAAACGAAATATGGAAGGAACGAAAGCTGGTGGGAAGAAAACGAATGAACCGCTTGTATGATGCAACCGATAGTTAAGGCAACCCAAAACAACCAACCAAAATGTTTGGCACCTTCTACACGAGGTAAAGAATACAATGCGTAGATATAGACACACATTTTCCAGGCAGCTTTTTTAAGACCAAAACAGTTTGAAAACGGCAGCAAGCTTTTATGGCAGGAGAGAAAATTGCTTGGCTTAGTCAAACAGATAACACACGTTAATTATCACACCTGACTTCTGTCAACATTTGTGGTGATCGTAAACTGTGTTCTACTAAGCTTGACGCCTTTATGAAGGAATTAAGCTGCCAGATGATGACTTCGAAATCGTAATTTCCAAATACCAAAAGCCTTCAGTTCCACGCAACGTCACCTATAGAAAGATGACAAATGTAGATGCCTCAGTCGACCTCTTGCTCAGGACACATTAGTTTGGTGTCGCGTTTTATGTTACACAGTGGAGCATTTTAGGAGCTTAACGCATGCCAAGAGATTTGAAGTCAAAATTGGTATCTCTACCAGTTGCACTAAGCCATGACTATAGAATTCAAATGATAAGCAATCAAGTAATAGGCGTTCACGTTAAAAGATGATAAGAAACTGTCAGAGAAGGGAAAAGCTATGACTGTAAGGAACAATATGATGCTGATACATGCCAAGGCAAAGGCAAGGCAAGGCAAGCAGAAAAACTGTAACCTTTCTGGTCAATCATATTTATGGCAGATTGCTCTCAGATTGATTTATACTGAAACATGTACTTAAAACTGTTTGCACTGATATTAGAGCCTTAGAATGATCTTGGTAAGAACTTTCTGATGTTAATTATGACATGCACCTTCACTGATCCTTTAAAACCAACATCAGGGTTAACTGTTGGTGAACTCCAATGACTTGGCATAAAAAAGAAATGACAAGTAAAAATGCTAATGGCAACCCAATGCATAGCACAGAACACGCAAACCGGTCTCCCAAATGTTACTTCAGCAGATGCTACATCTTCCTTTTAGGAACAAAGTAGCAAGAGCAATACAAAACTGACCACTGGGAATGTTTATACAGTGAGAGGTCGATCTGCCTTCAAGACATGGTAACAGTGGTTCGACGAGAGAATGAATATAGCGTCAGTACAGTGCTGCTGATAAACTGGAGCCTTCGACATGCAACGTACGCTACACAGGCGACTACTGTCAAGACCGGTTATAACGAAGTCAACGGGAATCGGAAATCACTTCGCTATATTCGTTATTTCATTATAACAGACTTCGGTTAACGAAGTGCAAAAGGGAATGAGAAATCGTGATCGCTTCGCTGTAGCTGCTATTTCGTTATAACCTGTCTCGACAGTACACAACTGCACACCGGTACAATGCCCGCTGTATGAGTGTACCAAGATAGGGTGCCCCGTAAAAATCAGTCCACCTGCAGCTGGATTAAGGAATTAGTCTTAACTGGATCCAGCTTAATCCATCTAAGATTAGTTCCTAAATCCAGCTGCAAGTGGACCGACCTTCATCTGGGTCGAAATGATCTAATGGGCCAAACCTCCCATGCCCGCGTCAAAAGACAACAGACGAGTGAGCCCTAACACCCGTGCACCTTTGCGTACAATGTCTGTCCAGCCGTGCAGTGGAAGATGCGCGCCTGTCGTCATACCAGCGACTCGAGCAGTGACATGAGGTACCGGCACTCACCCCAACCCTCGAGCAACCGCGTGGGTGACAGCGGCACCGTGCTGCGCAGATCGAGGCTTTCCAGCCGCTTGCACAACTTGAACGTCAACTTCTTCCGGGCAGCCACTCCAGAAACCGGCATCGCCGGCGTGCTCATCCGCCGGTCGTTGCGCGCCTTCGACGAAAAGCAGCTGCGTCCCCCTCCCTCCGCGTCCTCCTCCGACGCTCCGTCGGGAAGCTTGAAGCTGATCTTCCGCTTGCGCTCCGGTCCCGCTGTCACCGTCGTCACGTCGTTCTTCAGCGGCGCCGATGACACGGAGGGATACATGAACCACGGAGGACTCGTCCTTCCGAGCATCGAGGACGCCGGCACCTCCAGACTCCCCCTGTCTTCCGTAGACTCTTCCACGTCTTCTTCCGCATCCCCACCGCAAGCCGCGATGGCGACGGGCTTCGAGACCGCGTGTCCGACGAAGTCCTCTTCCTCTTCGTCCGCCTCGTCGCCGTTGTGGTTGACCTCGCTCTCGAGGTTGTTGTTGCCGTTCGCCTCGTTCTCTCCAACTTCTGCAACGTCATTCGTCGTCTTCGCTCCGCCCGCGTCGCCGAACCCGTTGACGGGCGTCACGGTAAAACGAGATGGCACGGCCGCCGGGGCACTGTTGGAGCGCTCAAAGGTCACCAGGTCTCCGCCACGGATGTCGACGGTCGCCCTGTTTAGGGACGACGCCGAATCCGACCCGTTCTCGGATTCCGCCTCGAGGCAGACGCGTGACACGCGGAAGCGGCTTCCGCCGGGGCTCGACGGCGTAGCGCTGCCTCCGGTGACCGCGTTTACGGAGAGACTCGTGTGGAAGGGCGGCCGCTGAGGAGTTGCGCCGACGGCGCCGGCCACGCCGACAGAGTTGGGTATGTTTGCGGCGGCGGCAGTGGGGGCAGTCGGTCCGGAGATGCCGTTGCAGATGCTGGGCAGGGAAGCCATGCGGAGGAGCCTCTTGTTGCGGCGGCACTGCTCGCCAATCTCCAAGAGGAGCTTCCGGTGCTCCTGTAAAGCGTCGTTCTCCTCCTCCTCCTCCTCGTCCTAGGGATAAAAAAGACGCAATGGCGTTTTACTAGACAACCTTCCCAAGCCAAAACTACACTTCTAGGAAACACTGAATTGTAAAAGGTTTCAGGTATCTCCCACCCAAACATGGGCTAAACAAACCCAGCTTCTCTTCAATTTTAGAGTTAGTCAGACCTGACCAGTCTGGCTTGAGTAAGTAGTTACATGGTTAAAGCTCATTAGTTATTTCAAATGTTCCAAGATTTAAATCAAACTAACTGTTGTGTTTTGACCACACTGCAGAGAGTCCCGTGTGAAACAACCTGTCAATTCGCTCGTAAATTAGTTCTACCACCGATGATTCAATCCGTGCACAACCGTCCAAGTGATAGAGAGAATGTACTTCATCATCCAAATGTCAGACGGCGTAACCAACATGGCCGGTCACACATTGCTGTGAATGGTGGTGTGTCGCTGACGTTTACTGTTGACCTATTGGGACGTGCATACACAAAGGCAGGCGCGTCACGAGCAGACCGACAATGGAGCAAATGGGGCAATTGTAGAGTTGTGGTAATTGGGGTTGTGGCTACACTTCTTTTGTGCTTTTTAGCTCCCTTTATTCTCCAGTTGGCACCAAAGAGCCAAGTATAAGACGTCTCAGGCAGTACTAAGCTGCTTGCCAGTTTTCGATGCCACCACTGGTTCGAGGAAAGTACTACGCCGAAACGCTCGTCGAAAAAGTTAAAATTCTGCATGGAGGCGATGTAGGGAAGGCAAGCAAGCTCAAAATCGCCAAGGAGAATGAGATTCTGAAAAGTATGTTATCAATATAGCACATCCAACATAACAACAACAAAAAATAGAGGATACCTATGAAGTTGAAGATTTTGCCTGCGACAGAAAAAGACTTCAGTCTGCGAAGCATGGATATGAAGAGAGCATTCATCCTATGAACTAAAGTTACAAGAAACCAAGATCTTCCACTGAGAATTCCCAGGATCATGGCAGAGACCACCGACCTTGTACTAGGATAGGAAATCGAAATTAGGCAACCAACAAGTTCTCTGCTCATCAAAGACAATTTTTCCGTGTCTAAGGTCTATGTAGAGCTGAAGGCTATTGAACTAGATTTTCTTCTACCGAAGTAGCTGTGGATTTACAGCCCATAATCCAGGGCAAAATCAATATCAAATCCTTGTGCAGGCATTGCAGGCTAAAGCAGATGAGTTCCTTTAAAGAGAACCAAAACTGCAGTGTCATCTTGCTCACTGCAATGGACGGGCTGACGTGTTGCAGAGACAAAGTCGCAGCGGCAATATCCGCAAACTGTTTTCCACAACCGCGCAGATTTAGTGCTGCGAGCCCATAGATGATGGGCAACTCTAAAGGGCATGAGGTTATTCCTGAGGGCAAACGTCAGGTGCTAAGAGACGCGAGTTTCACTAATTGCGTGGATGTGGACAGCAATGCAGTGGTGCAGGGTATCCTGAGAGAAGGGACCTTTTTGCGCTAATAAATGCCCAAAAACCTGCCGCGAAAAACAAGAATGATAACGAGGAAGACAGGAAACACAGGCGATGCCATCCATATGACAGGTTAGGGAGGCACTCAATGTCATCATCTTAACCTTTATCAGCTTTGAAGTAGGCAAGGAAGATATTTTCCGCTACAATCGTGCACGGTAACAAAAACCGAGAACCATACCTTTGCACGCACAGAAGCAGAAGACTATTACAGACATTTATTCCGCTAATAAAAGCTGGCAGTTGTGAATGTCTCAGCCTTCCCGGCACAACATATAGCACTTTTTTTTTACTTGACTTTCGTTAGTTCAAACTTTGTTTCATTGATAATTTTTTGGCATTCATGTGAAATATGAAATCATGAGCTTTACAGCAAACAATTTGTAACAGCCTTTGGGGAGTACTTGTTCAGTACTTTACAGCAAGAAAAAACCTGCATGCACATACAATGCCAAATTATGACCAAATATTTTGCCACATTCAAGTGAGTGTAAGTGATAAAACAGAGAGGAAACACATTTGCGACACTTCTCCGGCCACTAGATACGACTGTGCGCAAGCAGGGGGAGAGTTCTAGAAAGTTTAAACGTCAAATTAGTTGTATCAATGTTTATAGAACGATACGTCGGACAGCCTGCATGAAGACAATTTGGGGGTGAAAAATGGCAACTAAAAACAAAGTGTATTAAAACTCCCTTCTCAAATTTTCCTCTTACGTCCTTTGTGCCCGTCTTCTCACAAGAGCTTGAACAGAGTCCCTTAAAGTGGAGAGCACATGAAGCCTTGCCTCCTCACATTGCATCATTTAAAAAAAAAAATATAAAATATTTTTGCTTCTTAAAGGGCTTAGCATGTACTACTAGCCTAATAGACCCTTTCCGAAATTCAATGCCATCTGGTGGTTTGTTAAGCAGTTTAGGTTTTGCCATATCAATGACGGAAATGAACTTGTATCGGCACCGTGACTTTCGCAAGTCAACGGCTCGCGAGGAATTGTCCAGTGCGAGTTCTTTCTCGATCACTTTCAGTTCGATGGTGACCAAGAACCTGCATTCTGAACAAAGCTCCAATTCACTCAGAGGCCTCCGAAAGAATTCCATTCACTAAAGTGCTTTAAAGCCGATTGTGTGCCTGCCCCGCCCCCCCCCCCCCCCCCCCACCCCCCACACACACACACACACAAATTGGCTGAATCTGAGTTATTAGAAATAAACGCTTATGTATATTGCTCTTGTGTTCCCTTCCTACGTCGCGTCGTAGTAACCCCCTGAATATACAGGCCTCGCAAGATCCGCTTAGGAGCATCTTCAGCGTCTTCCTTTATCAGTCACTAGAAGGCCGCCATTGGTATGGCACAGGTGCCGTTCCACAGATGATGATAGTGATCAAAGTGGCCAGACTGAATTTCGGAAAGGGTCTATTCTTTATGGCCTTTCTAGCCATCTTTTTAACTCACAAAGCTAAATCAAGCAAAATGACGAGCACCGGAACCTAGAGATGCGCTGTTTCAATCGAACACAACGCATGCAACAACGGGAGATCCAACTGTTGCAGCCATGTTATGTGCACAACACTGTCAGTAAAATCAGTTAATTTGTTCCCCAATAGATCTATACGACAAGAAATCATATGTTCTGATTGATTACGGCTTTGTGAGTTTAGCCTAGGATACATCTGATACATATATATGACACACCACAAAAATAAAAAAATTAAAATTGCGTCACATTTTTTTTAAAACAATTTCGTTGTAGCTGTTGTAGTGTTTGCAAAAACATTTGAAAAGGAATTGACAATTTCGTATAGTGATGTCATCTAAACTATCAGACGAGAAAAACCCTTGGACTCGATTAGAATTGACATTGTTTCTTAACACTTTTGTATTTTAGTAAAAAGCAGATCAAAAAAATTCAATTTGGCTCAAAATTATTTTATAATCGATTGACCTCTCGATTTGTATCTGATCCAATCACCAAAACCAAAATTTGCATGTCTCTATACAGTTCAGCTACCGCACAACCAACATTTGGCATCAACATCTACCTTTTCAGTCTTGACCAGATCCAAGTCAAGCCGGGTGACGCTCTTACTAAGCCGCAGGGACTGTGACAGAGCCATCAGACCACCCATGCCTATGTCGTTTTCCCGCAAGTCCAACCGGGCAATCTTCTGGCTGTCGGCTATGAACTCTGCCAATGCTATGGCACCTGCAGCAACAAGGAAAGTGTAGATGTGATGAGAAACACACTTTTACAGTGAGACCATAAAAACTTGAAACCACCGACTACAGTAACACACCGAGACATGCCCCACCCCCGAAAGCTAAACCCCCCCTCCCTGTTTTCAACTTGATTTGCTATTTTCTTTTAACCACCAAAAGACAGCCCATTCCTAGTAATCGTAGTGTTCGGATCTATGGTGATCTCGGCGTAAGTGTGGCTAGGTAGCCATAGTAGCATAAAAGAAAAGATTTCACCTTTGCTTCATTGTACCTTGCCGCAATAACAAATTTGGCAGGAAAACATTAGATAAAAATAGCGTATTTTTAACTTTTCTCGGTTGTACACCGAAAGTCAGCCCACTCTTTATTTTTACCTGATTTGCTCTAAATTTTAGGTGGGCTATCTCTTGGGATATTAAGGTATGATGACAATTTTTGAGCCCACAGCATTGCGCAGGGTACACGCCAAGAAAGTTTGTATGCTTCTCGTACAGAGGGTCGCAGTGACATCACGACTACAAGCTCCGATTGGAGGATTGCTACGGGCAGGCGTTAACGGCTGCAGTGGCGTCATCTGCAAGTCATAGCTATGGCTGCTTTGCCTTTTCTTGCTGCCACTTGGTACTTCACGGTTCTTTAAAACTGGGACTCGGCCTTCAAGAGATAGGAGAGGGTATACCTCAAAAGGCATGTATATTTTGTTTCGTCAACTAACAACTACCAGAGGCGCTATGGTAAACAAAGAACTTGCGGCCGAGATATTGTCTACCCACTAAAGAGAATGCCGTCCGCTGGGGTGTAGCTCGACTGCATAGTCGCAAATGTGATCAATCCTTCCCACTTGTCCCGCGCTTCTTTTTGTGTGGGGAGTAAAGCCTTTTGGTCGATGTTTGCTCACGGGCTGGGCTGTGCAAGGGAACCATTTGTGAGGCCAACAGCTCTCTTTTCTCCTCAAAATACTTGCGGTTTTTAAGAACGATTGGACATCTGCTTGTGCAGCAATGCCTTAATAAAGCATCCTGAGCAAAAAAGAAAAAAACAGAAAAGACAGAATTATTATTTGCTATGAATAATCCACTCTAGAGGAGGGGGGGGGGGGGGGGGGGCTAGCTAAACGTGGAATGGACGATGCGCTATGATAATGGAACCACAAGTATTCAAAGTGGTAAAAAGAAAAGTACATGCAGCCAATATATGCCTGCGACACTGGACGCTAACAGGAAGTTCACAATGACGCCTGCGTGATGCAATCACTTGAGGCACAGAAAGATCAACCAGTTATTCAATGTTACACGGACCCTTCCGCAGCCCACGGATCGTATACGAAGCCACTGCTGCGCATACGATCTGTGGCTTCCATACAAAACAAAAAATCCTCTCTAATGCTTTCAAACAGTCCAGCACCTCTTGCAAACAGCCCGGACACTCTACCTCAAGTTTTATTCCCAGTTATTTCTATCAAAAGGGACAAGCAATAGAAAAAACAGAACTTCGTCAAGGGGCAACCAATGATCATTGAGACATCAGTTACAGCTTCAAAGACATCTCCAATTGCACAATTCAAGAAAACACAGCTCCTCACTGCTCCCAGCTGCTACAAGAGACTTTTTGAAACTACCCCTTAGTGTGCGCAGCCCCCCGCCGTCAAGCGGGGCAGAGTCACCAGAGCTGGCCAGGATGTATGGGATGCAGCTGGCATCCTCGTCATAATGCCTCACTTTCTTTTCTTTCCTCTGTATGTACTTTCTGTATTGTGTATATTCTGTACATATATATGTCCGTTATGTTTTTTCACATGCGGTGGCGGGCTGGCAGGCGCTCTGCGTAAGGGGTTTTTACCAATGTGCCTAGCCCCGCACACCACCACATGTGCCCATTGCAGTATGTGCAAAGAAAATTATTATTATTATTAAATATTATTATTATTATTAGTCTAATCTCGTTATAACAGACCTTGATTTTGACCAAGATTTTGGTCTGTTGTAAAAGGAGTATGTTGTATGCAGATATGAAGTTGAGTCAATGGTGTGTAGAGGAAAACCAACCAAACTTCACAAATCGGTATGTTATATCCAAACGTCTGTTGTAACCAGGTCTGTTGTAATGAGCTTAGACTGTATCTGCTTTCAATCTTATAAAAAGAAAGTGTCAGCAAAGTCAAGCAAATTTGAAGTATGCCTGTTATACTGGTAAAGGCATTTGAGCTGACGATATTGCAAAGAGATTGAAACAGTAATTCATTTTTCTGCCAAAACCTACTACACTACAGAGAAGTATTACTGTACACACCAGCAGAAGACAAAAACGGTCACAGTGGTCATCATCTGCTCCTTCAAAATGTTAAACGAATTGAGTGTGAGAATAGCCTATTCTTATCAATGAGATTCAATCTCCAAACACCTATTTTTTCTCGCAAATTCTGTCGCAAACAAAATGTGCAGCGGTTTTCATTCCGCGCGTGCAGAGTCGCAGCGGTGAGGCAGAGCACGCACCCTCGCAGGTGATGCGGGTGTTCTGCAGTCCCAGGTTGCACAGGGTCTTGTTCCTCATCAGGGCCTCCCTGAGCACGTGCAGGCCGTCGTCCCCCACGTGGTTGTGGCCCAGGTTCAGTGTGATCAGGGATCGTGTCGCTATCTGTGTGATCGGGCAACGAGCCAAGTGGCAAAGATTGGCCAATCAACTTGTCTTCCCAACTCCTGCTCTGGGAAACAGGTTGCCCATTAACTCGGGATTCGTAAAACGACATAGAGTTAATATAATATTATAGAGGGAATGGTCCCATGCATTTCGACTGCTTCGAAACGGCAGAGCATAAACACGGACATAGGTGGTCCCCATGGGACCATATCCCTGGCGAAACTTTGAGATACAAAAAGAAGGAGGAAAGCATTACTTCTAAGGTTTGTACCTAGGTTTTTCTAGCTTTAACTAGCAAAAAATCACCGGCGTCTCGCGTTTTACAAAATAAACTGAAGTCGAGAAGCAACATCAACTTGTCGCGGCAAAACGAACACAACGAACTCATTATCTGCTTTACTTTCCTGGTTTGATGTCGCTCCTTTCCTCAAAACCAGCGATATCTGCACTTACGATTTGCCGCACTCCTTTCCTGTCTTTACCCCCCCCCCCCCCCCCCTCACACACACGCCATGGCGAATGCAAAAGAATGCCGCAAAAGCCCCTGACACTTTCAGACCTTCAAAGTCGGCGACATTTGCAGGCACAAAGTGTCGCCCAACGTGGGAGTGGCACAGTGAGCACGGCACAGTGAGCACCGATGCAGTGCACATATTACGACGGCGGCTTGTATAATTCCAATGCCACTCTAAGGTGTGCTGCACGACTGCAGGCAAGTTCGAGGAAATTTCACAGAGTTTGCATGCTAAAGTTGTTGACAAGACGAGAATGGCAGAACGTCTCTCTCGAATGTCTCCAGCATGCCCTTGCTGCCTTTCACTGTGCTTGGGATGAACGTTGTGGGGATTCCTCTGGTCTCCCTTCCCCGATGGCTGCGATAACGACCGCGGTTCGGAACGCTCGGCCTCCTTCGCCGTGAGCTCCGACCTGTTCGTGAGGCGGAGGGCCGCCTGGCTTGGGGGGCCCTCCTCTCACTCTCTCTCGGGGGGACCGATTTCCGTTCCCCCGCTCGGATGCGGATCACTGCTGACAGGCGAGGAGGCTTCGCCTCTTGTTTTCCCGCTTTCGGGAAAGGGACTCGTCCGGGTGACCGCGAAAGAGATAGGACGTGCGTCGGCGACTTCTCCGACGCTTCCCCGGTCTTGGCTCTCCGGAACCCCGCGTCTGGCCAGGTAAGGACCTTCTCTTACCTTGCCGGCGCGGGGGGCATTTTGGATGGGGACATAGTAGTTCATTTTAAGAGTGTTCGAATAAATGCTCTTGGACTCTGTCCTTACTCTGGTACGTGTGTCTTCTCCTCCGCTATATTCGTGAGAGTGAGACAAGGTAGACGATCACTGGCACCGACGGAGGTAATTAATCGAACCGACCCGCGGTAATGTAGCCCTAAACGTTCGTCTACATTGCCGCGGAGATGTGGGGACCGCGCGCTACTAGGTTTGACGTCTCCTTTGAGATATCGCCGCTGTTGAGACAATCCTTTGGTTACTCTATCGGTACCTGTGTTAGTTGGTAGCTAGCAAAATCCCACATAAAATGGCGCCCAACGTGGGGCCACGGCTTCCTTTATCGTGGTCGTGGCTCCTGGCCTCCGTCCCTTTGTCCGGCCTGTTTGCCGACCATCCTTGCCTTTGATCTCCCCGTACCACGAGCGTCCTGATCTCGCCACTTATGGTTGAGCGATTAATGCCGAGTCGGCAACCCGCAGTGCCACTCCTTTGAGCGAGCGCAGTGTGATTCGTACGCGCATTCCTGTTTTGAATTAGCGTGCGTCAAGCAACATTTGTTGTTGTGGGAGACCCTTTGTTCTCCATGCTTGAGGCGAACCTTTCACCTGTGTGTATTTAGGTTCCTTGCGCGCCACCAACAACTTGTCCTGAAGGGAAAGTGTAAATAGAAGTTTTGATGATGTTTTTGAGTACCGGGAGGACTTTTATGTCCGGCGGGGAGCGAGGCTTGGCAGAAAAGAGTAGCGAAGGATCAGCAGTGCAATCTGGGAATGTAAATATTCGCGTTTTCTTTGACTCGGAGTAGTCGCGGACACTCATTCAGAGTCGGACGGTACGCCTGCCAATAACGTCGATAAGTAGCTGGTACTGCTACTGACGGGCTCCGGGAGCCGGGCCGCGTAACCGTCGGCGTCGAGAAGCAGTTTGCACACTGTTGACGCGCGCGCTGTATTCACTGCTGGTATTGCAGTGGGCGCGGAGGGTTTTCTTCGGGAAAGATTTGTTTCTGCATGATGCCAACGTACTCCTGCAGCCTGTTGTTGTTTTCCAGGAACGACACTCGTTTTGCGTTCATGGTGGTGGCGCTACGCGGTCTGAGGCGCACTGTGACAGTAACTGGGTGGACGAGTGACTCTAAGACTTTCGGAGGTTATGTTGCTCTGAAACCCAGGCGCCATGTAGCCAGAGCGCCCTTTGGCGATCGGTCAGACTCGCGTGATCCAGGTGGAAGAGCGACTCTACGACTCTTAGCAGTTACGTTGCTCTGAAACCTGGCCTTGCCTCAAAAGAAGGGTCCACACCGTTGTGAGTCCTTGATCAAACCGTATCGAGTGCAAGACATGTTTTTCTAGCCTCGGTAAGCTAGCTAGCTCAAATAGTTGGCGAAACTAGCAGGTTTGAGCGTGTGAGCTGGGCCCCTTTTGTCTTCCTCCCTGTGGAGCAAGATGGCGGCTATTTTGCGCGGGAACTTGCATCTTCCCCGCTCGCAGACGCGCATGCATGGCGGTTTCTTTCTATCCGCCCCTTCGAAGTCCCCGTATCCGTTCACCTCGACTTCAGAAGACGGGCCAGCTGCAGACTGTTATCTGTTTTTGGCCACTTATAGTTAACGGGCTCTTCCGGTAACTATAAAACCGGGTATTGTAGGCAGCCTCTGTCTTAGCTGCCTGCGCAATGGATTGAGAACTCGGCATGTTTCCTAGAAGCTCTCTCCCCGGTGCCCACATTAAGCGAACTCAATTAGTTTGCATGGTATGTGGACGCGTTTCGAACGGAGGGGCCCCCTTTTTATGGCTTCTTCCGGTGTCGAATCGTGTCACTCTGGCATGTTCCTGTCACCGTTGACAAACTGGCCACCTTCTTTGTGGTTTTTGTTTGTCGTTTGCTCCTGCCCATGTCTGCCGCCTTTGCGGCCCGAGGCAGTCGAGCGTCGGTTGCGTGCCTCCCCTCGTTTGGAGGTTGCGGCGCCCTTTCTTCCCTTTGGGGAGGTCTACGGCCGGCTCTGGGCGTGTTGGCTGCTGGCGCAAAACGACTTCGCAGGTCTGCTCCGAGGTCGTCCACCCCCCCTTCACCAGCCCACTGCGGCCGAGATGGCGCCGAACCCCCTGGGCAGCGTGTCTGGGACTTCCCCAGCTGGTCTCCGCCGGTGGGCGGCGGTCGTTGGTCTTTCTTTGGTGCTGCCGCCTTCACGACCGCCTGACTGCCCCCCACTGCAGGCCAGCTCGTACCGCGACACCTGGGTCCAGCGGCGTCAGCACGGTGCCTGTGGTGCTCTGCCCTGCTGTGGCGGCGACTGTCAAGCGCTTAGAACTTGAACTTTCCGGGTCTTCGGTCCTGCGGGCCAGCTGTTGACGGCGGACACTGTGAAGACACGCGCTGGGTGTCGCGTGTATTTGTTGGGGGTGCGCAGAGAGATATATTATTTCATGAGAGCAGGTGGGCCTCCTTTATTCTTTCTTGAGACCCACCTACCGTTTTAAGGAGGGGGGGATGTGGGGATTCCTCTGGTCTCCCTTCCCCGATGGCTGCGATAACGACCGCGGTTCGGAACGCTCGGCCTCCTTCGCCGTGAGCTCCGACCTGTTCGTGAGGCGGAGGGCCGCCTGGCTTGGGGGGCCCTCCTCTCACTCTCTCTCGGGGGGACCGATTTCCGTTCCCCCGCTCGGATGCGGATCACTGCTGACAGGCGAGGAGGCTTCGCCTCTTGTTTTCCCGCTTTCGGGAAAGGGACTCGTCCGGGTGACCGCGAAAGAGATAGGACGTGCGTCGGCGACTTCTCCGACGCTTCCCCGGTCTTGGCTCTCCGGAACCCCGCGTCTGGCCAGGTAAGGACCTTCTCTTACCTTGCCGGCGCGGGGGGCATTTTGGATGGGGACATAGTAGTTCATTTTAAGAGTGTTCGAATAAATGCTCTTGGACTCTGTCCTTACTCTGGTACGTGTGTCTTCTCCTCCGCTATATTCGTGAGAGTGAGACAAGGTAGACGATCACTGGCACCGACGGAGGTAATTAATCGAACCGACCCGCGGTAATGTAGCCCTAAACGTTCGTCTACATTGCCGCGGAGATGTGGGGACCGCGCGCTACTAGGTTTGACGTCTCCTTTGAGATATCGCCGCTGTTGAGACAATCCTTTGGTTACTCTATCGGTACCTGTGTTAGTTGGTAGCTAGCAAAATCCCACAACGTGCACGCTCTAAGCTCATGAGACACCGAGGCGTCATCGAAGGTACAAAGATCCCGCTGTCCGGCGTCAGAGATCATACTCGCAACTTTCACTGATGGTTGGTACTGTGACATACCAGACTTTTCAGTGTTCCTTACAATCGACACTAATAATAATTTTTATCCACGCAGTTTTGTTGACCTAAGTACCGCAATTTATTCTAGAAACTGCAACGTCTAGTAACTCGGCACAGGATCACGCGACTCTGCGTCGCGTGACCCATCACTGGCTTGTGCGACTCGGCGCGCACTCACGTGACTCAACACGGGAGGTGGGGTGCTCACCAGGGCTCGAGACATGTGCCTCATGCCGGCGGGCGAAATGTGGTTGCTCCAGAGGACCAGGGTTCGAAGCCCGACGTCGGCCTGGTCCGGCTGCTGGGCCATTCCGTCGGACAGGTGGGACAGGCCGACGTCCTGAAAAGCGGCCCAGGTCGGCACAAGTTGCGTTTTCTCAAGAAGCAACTGACGTTCACAGACACCCAAAATTTCTATCATTCCTATTGAAATCTGGGCTTCCTCAAGGTGTTCCATACATCCATTGGAATGAGAGAGAAAAAAGAATGTGGCAGTGATAGTAAAGAAAATGAAGACGGTGTATCTATCACCGACTCTCCACGTCTTGTCCCCGAAAATTTTGCAAAGTCACATTACTTGAGAACATGGTGCCCTATTCGTCTGGCTTTGTTTCCTGGGGAAGAAAAGTTTTAATACCACCTTCCCTGGAAAATATTGACTCTATTTACTAAGGCTTCATCTCTCAAGTGAACATTAAACATTTTAAGAAAAAATTATGATAAGACAACCCTAAACAGCTGCCTCGGAAGAAAAAAGGTATTTCTAACTCTTGTTTGAATGGAACAAAGTTCAGAAGAATGAATGCTCTCATTTAGGAGCTCTGCAAAGGGGAAATTTGAATAAAAGTGCTCTGCCGATACATCCCATAGCACAAAAAGTAGCGGTTAGGCAATAATTTTATTAGAGTCGAGCGATTTCAAAGTCTGCCTGCTCTTCTATGGCTTTCGAGCCCAAGCAGCTGCAGGGCTTGCAGAGTACAATTTGCAAAAATAGGTTTAAAAATTCCAGTCCCTTTGGAACTAAGTGGAGTTATTTTGATCCTGTACCAAGTCTGGCAAACTTGCCGCACATGACAGGCCGCTCAACCATATAAAGTCGCTGTCATGTAAGGTTGTGCGAATATTCGAAATTTCGAATAGTAGTTTCGAATAATACACTATTCGATATTCGCTTCGAGAAGAACTGCATTATTCGCGTTTTTCGAAGGCTTGATTGCGGCGGGTTAGCTCCGATGAGTGCGCTTCTTTCCAAGCACCGGTGCACTGCAAAGAAGCAATACCCGCAGAAGCGAGCTTTGCGGGTGTTGCTTCTCTGCATTACATCGGTACTCAGTAAGAAGCGCACTCAACAAGGTAACCTTCCGCGATTAAACACTTGAAAAAGCGTGCTTGGAAGAAACGTGTACATTTAAAGCGGCATGGTGCACGCAAATCGGCTGTACTTTAAAATAAATGGATTATCTGTGAATGTGTATATTGACATTGTAGTAAAAGTTTCAAAATAAAACTGACTGCTATGCAAGAGTATACTATATTAGGCAGAGATGCCCTTACAACCTGCATTCAGCATGTGCGATTTATTCTTTTTTTCACTCGAGATTAAAGAAAGAATATTTTATATAGCAAGATTTGTAAATTCACTCAATTGGGTGCAGTTGGCCATCTGTATAGGATTCATTTTATGTCAAATCCGTCGTTTACTTGCCATCCCGAGACATCAGACCTTCTTAGGTCACAGTTCATAAATATAGATAAACTTGGCTTATAAATGATCAAGTAGAACAACCTTCACAAGTTTAGCTGAGATTTCATCTAAGCATTATGCTATGTCAAGACGGCAATTTGGGCCAGTTGGTTCATGATCAAAGCTACGCTATGGTTATGCTATGGTAGTGAAAGGCATGGAAAAACTATTTGATATTCGAATCGAAAATATTCGGCCAAAACCACTATTCGCTTTGAATTCCCTTTGAACTCAAAATCTACTATTCACACAAGACTATTGTCATGCTATCATAGAAGAGCTCTAAAAAATATCAAAGCAAATTCCACAAAAAGGACAAACACGGACCCAACCCCATATAAAACTTTTCATAATTGGTATACTTATGCATTGAGTGGATCTGCATTTTCAATACATACTACCCTCAGTGTTGAAACAACGGAAATGATAAACCCCATTTTAATCTACTAAATCACAAGTGTTGCAATCATAGAAACCAAACCTTTTGAGAGATACAACGCCACCATTTCCTTCAACAACATCATCATCATCATCACCGTTAAATTTAGCTGCAATATTTGCATAAAATACAGGGCCAAAGAGACATTTTCGGAATTTGGTTTCGTGACTTTTAGAAAGAAGTTATGCATACCACACCAAAAGATGGCTTCCATGCAATCCACTGCTACTGGTATGTGAGACATTCACACAAGGTGGTTCGGCAGACACAATTGGCCGAACACAGCCCAGCTTTCTCCTTGTTTGCCTCACGGTGTGTCGCCTCTGTAGAACACGAGACAGGTGGAGAATATCCACCGTACCGTGCTCACCACTGACCTCTATGACAATTGCTGGATCGCGCTTCCCCACTTGTTCGCTGCAGCGCGAGTGAAGCCCCCAGACAACCATCTTGCTCATAGACGATTTGCAGTTTTGCTCGTGTTACAGAGGCTGGCGGCAGCGTGCTGTAGACACATTTTCTACTCGTTCATCGTCATTCGCCGAAGAAGTTTTTACAAACCCTGTGTAACCGTTGAGACTTGCCACTGTAAACATGTGGAAAATTTTACAAAAGCGTAGTGTCGCAGGAAGAAGGCACAACTCGTCGAAAGCAAGTTTCGCTAATCTTGTGCTGGGATCAAAGCTTCCTTGGCACGCCGAAGTGCTGCGTCTCTGTGCCTTCGCACGCTTAGATATCGATCGAGAATCGATGCCGTGTGGATGTATTTTGCAAGTGCAATGTGCGTGAAGCCGTATGTAAATGCACAACTTGTCGAGAGCAAGTGTCGCCGGTCTCGTGGACTGATCAAAGCTTCCTTGGCATGCCGAAGTACTGCATCTCTGTGCCTTCGCACGCTTGGATATCAATCTAGATTCGTTTTGGCGAAATGTGGATGTGTTTTGCGAGTGCAATGTGCGTGAAGCTGCATGTATTTCTGGGCAGAATTTTACTTGTACTCTGACTATTGTATTTGTAACTTGTGGCACTTGCGGTACAGAAACGAGCTTGACCCAGCATCAAGTGGTGACAGAAAAGGGGGGGGGAAGGTGAGAGAAAAAAGCAGCACCAGCGGCGCGTTTTTTTTTTGTTTTGTTTACTGAACGCTTATGGCAATCAAATTAGTAGTACAAAAGGCGCAGAGACGCAGCATTTCGGCGTGCCAAGAAAGCTTTGATCATGCCACGAGACTGGCAAAACTTGCTTTAGACGAGTTGTGGCTTTTTTCTGCTGCCCTGCGCTTTCGTGAAAATTTCCACGTGTTTTCAGTAAGTCTCAGCCCTTACACAGTGTCTTGAAAATCTTCTTCGAAGAATGACAACGAATGAGTAGAAAACATGTCTTTAGCCCACTGCCACCAGCCTCTGTAACGCAAGAAAACTGCAAATCGTCTACGAGCAAGATGGCCGTCCGGTGGCTTCACTCGCGAGAGCAGGAAGCGCGATCCAGCAATTGTCATTGAGATCAGTGGTGCTCACAAAGCTTATACGGATCCCACAAACCACATTTCACCGCCTAGAAGTGCTATCCTGGCCGCAACCCAAGAACTGCTCCAAGATGTAGCACTCAAAGAAACCAGGGTGCCTTGAACGCGTCTTTGATCGACGTGTTTAGGGTCATATTCCACCTATACATAGAAAGTAGTCCCTACGTGGCAAGAAATAACATCACACAAGACGGCATGGCATGTTGTCAGATATTGCAGTTTTCGGGGTTGCGGCCAAAACTCCTGGCAAAAAGCACGAGAAAACACACAAGTGCCATTGCAGTCACAGAGTCCCAACACCTGGCAGCCAAAGCTTCCGTGGACTGTCAAGCTTTGAAATCGAGGAAACACTCTGGGAAGCGGTAAGTGCGCCAGTTGGAGATGCGCTCCAGGCACCATTATGGAACAGCCCAAGCACGGGAGGCCACCCGCTCAAGGTCAATATGACAGCCGAACCGTGGACGCCGCAATTTTGGCAGCCACCTTTGAACCGTAGTGCGAGGGGGTGGAGAGAAGCGTAGATTGCCCCGCAAAAACTATCGTTGCAGCATGCCCAGTCCAGCTGCGATGAAGGCCTCGAGCGAGTGGCCCCCCTGTTCGGCGAGTTCCAATGAGCACCACCGCGTCATGAAGCAGTTCTTTGGCTGCTGCAAATTGGTACCGTAGTGCATCCATGAGATAAGACAATGTACCCGTGTTCCGTTTAAGTTTGGCTTGTTTCCTCTGTACATAGAATATGCACCACTGTACAGAGCTAATCAGACTTGTCTATAATGCGCAAGCGTGCAGCTTTCTCCGGGGAGCGCTAGACTGGTGGCATTCGCGGAAACTAAGCTAGTCACGTGGCGCAACATGGAATGGCCCACTCGAGGGGTGTCCTGCCCACTCTATTAGCTTGATGAGCGATAAAAGTTCAGTGATTTATGATATATTTTTGTTTTTTGATGACGACATCGTTGATACGCCTTCATGCTTTAATTTGTTTATTGTTCGAGCAATGACGTTTGTAAAAAGCGTGTGAGCAGCCTTCCGCGTTCGCCGCCACCTGATAAAGTAGGCAGGACACCCCTCGAGCAGGCCGTTCCATGTTGCGCCACGTGACTAGCTTAGTTTCCGCGAATGCCACCAGTCTAGCGCTACCCGGAGAAAGCCGCACGCTCGGACGTTATAGACAAGTGTGATTAGCACTGTACATAGAGTATGCATGTTTTCACTGTAGGCAGAATATGCACGTTTCCCCTGTAGACTGAATATGCAACATTGTATGTAGAGTACGCACGTTTTCACTGTAGGCAGAATATGCACGCTTTCATTGTGTGTACAGTATACTTGCTTCCTTTGTAAATAGAATGTGCAACACTGTATGTATGACAGACTATACATGTTCTCACTGTAGGCAGAACATGCATGTTTTAACAGTACGTGGCATACATGCGCCCACCCTGTGCCCACCTGGAGATTGTTCCCCCGGAGGTCGAGGTATTCAAGACGAGAGTTTGCCCTGAGTAGGTTGGCAAGCTGAAGCCCGTCTGCACAGCCCATCCCGTTCTCCCCCAGGTACAGCTCCTTCAGGGCAGGGTTCAGCTTCAGGGCAGCCACTACAAAACACCAAGACACCATGAGACAGGGGTGTATCTTCGCACAAGTTTAACTGAAGACCGACATAAAATATTACATGCTTTGGTTGAACTACAGTCAGTGAGAGGTTAAGAGTTCAGGGCAAGCTGCTCCCGCCTATTTCCACTTGACCAGAGCGAATGCTGAAGAGAAGGCAACCTCTTCCCCAGCGTTGCATGGCTCCGCTAAAGTGGAAAGAGGTGGGAGGAGCTTCCCCTTAAAGCCTTAACTTGTCGCCAACTATAGTTGGTACATATTGGTGAAGGGTCAGCTATTTTGTCCTGCTCAGTCCTTTCTCCGTTTGTTTTCGCAAGTTCAAGCTCACCTTCACCGACATTAAATAATTGTGTTGTGTGTTTGTTTACACAGCAGGAAGTTAGTCAGCTCCAGTTGGTGTCTAGCATCTCTGCTGAAGACGAAAAATTTAGCCAGTGCAGTACCACTGCTGGCCTGGGGTCTTCAACGTGCACCACGCAGTAGTGACACACGACTGCACACCAGTATGATGCCCATCCTGATTGAAACAGGCAGGGGTGGGAACTTATCCCAAGGACCCTGGGTTCTGCAGCGCCAGCTTTCGCTCCATGTGCTTCAAGCCGCATTGCGTTAACAAGCTCAGTGACTGGCATACAACCCAGAGTTTTCGACAAGGAAAATAATCCCGTTTCTCAAACAGTGAATGTCGCACACGTTTCCTAGATTCAATTAAAAGAGAATTCTCCAATCACAAAACCATAATAAGAAGTCCCGACGTTTCCAAGCCTACTTGGCTCCTTTTTCAGGGGTGGCTCTAGGTCGTATGGGGCAGTCGCAGCTTCAACCTCTTTGTGTTTGTAAACGAGAAAACATTATTTCCTCTTTAAGTAGGCGGTGTCTTGGTCGCTGTTCTTGTAACATAACGTAGACCTTGCGTATACAAAAACGGTAGGGCACCTAGAGATCTGTTGATGTTTCCTGGTATCTGTTAGATGTGACAAGATTCCTAGGGTAGCCTTTTTCGGAAATTTGCCTCCGTCTCAATCATGTGCGCGTGAGCGAAGTTAATCAGATGGTCACGCGCTTCACAGTGTTCGGCAACTGCGCTGCGTTCATGGTCAAAGTTACGCAAACTGTTCTCGTGCTGGCACATTCTTTCGTGACAGTTCTTTGTATCGCCGATGTAGGCGGCAAGGCACCCTTTGCATAGGATCTTGTATACCATGCCCTGTGCTCATTCTCTTGGTAGTCGGTCGTCGGATCTTGGCATTAACCGTCCCAGTCTGGACACTGGCTTGAGGGCCACTTGAATGCCTTCTTCTCGCAATACGTATGCCAGCTAGTGCTTCGCTCGTCCCTCTCACACAAGGGACACTGATGCGCACGATGGGCCGGGGCTGCATTGCTCCTGATGACCTCTGGTCTTGGCGGGTGCGACCTTGGCAACGGCCGACACACTCAACACAAGTTTTTGTGTAGCCATTTTTTTTTAGAGATTAGCAATGATGACCTGCTTCTTCTTTCAGTTTCAGACTACAGATTGTCATTGCCCTGGAGAACAGTGTCAACACTAGTGACGTCTTGTGGCTCACCGTGTGGTTTGATTTTAAATAATGGTAGTACCTGTGTGGGTTGGTTTTCTGTATATACTGAACCTCAATACCTCTCTTTCCCGTTTCACCAGCGCAGAACTCCTCCCAGTCACGGCAATGATGAAAGAAAGTGGCGCAGAAGCCCACAGACCTCGTAAACAACAATGTGTACACTACCAGGGCGTGCCTTACATGTAGTCATGCATCGAAAAACGGCTCAGATCTTCTGAACTAGTGGTTAAGTCCAATGACCAGTTAACGTTTTCCACTTTTCCCTCGCTTCCTCCTCTCCCACCTTCTACCCTTCCCACTGTTGCCCGTTTCATCCTCGCCCCTTCCCCCACTCTACCCCCTCGTCCCCTACATCTGGTCCATTAAGCCCACGGGGGCTAAACCTTAGAGTCCAACTAGAGAAAAAAGGAGGTTAGGTTACGAAAGAGTAACCCCAACATGATTAACAAGCGGCCTTGAGCCCGTGAGTTACAATGCCGTTGACGTCAGTGCAGCTTGCTGGTCAGCGTGTGCACTGGTATTTTTTTATATGTTCCCCTTGGAAGTCTTTTTGGGGCAACTTTGCTAAATACGACTGAAAGTGGCTCTTGATTTTTAAACGTTTCATTTCGTTTTTATTATTATTATTTTTTTTTTTTTGCGTTGAGATATTTATGATTTCGGAAGACATTATCTGCGCATGTGCAGCCCCACGCAGACGCTGGTTCGAAAGTGGCGAGTATGAAAACACGTGATTGCGTGTGCAGGCGAAATAGGCCACGGCCTCCCAAGAAGGGTGGGTACATCCCTAGATCCCGCTTCCTAGATGCAGTGACCTCTGAGTGATTGAGTTTCCCATCCATATAACTTGTACACGTTGTAACTTACCTGCAGCTTATCTTTAGCCCCAAAGTTCATACAAAAAAGCTTCTCTTCCTTCCTTGTGTCCCTCACATTTCCATACCAATGCGTTCCAATCCAGGCTTTCGACAAGGGGCAGCAGGTATTTCGAAAAAACATCAATTCACATTCATTAAAGAACGCGGTAATCAAAGAAGCACCTGGCAAAGACGTACCGCGCAGTGCACGAAACAAACTCGGTTCTCATTTCCTGGTCCTGAAAGGTTTCTTCGCTAATGCTTTGGTGCACAGACTGTGACGTGTTCATTAAGGGGGAACCCTTTTACAGCAGAGCCAGGATTGTGTTCGGTATGTCGACACAAATTTGCCTGGACAGCTACCGCCATCTATAAGCGACGGCAGCAAGCACACAACCAGTCTGGTTACCGCAGTCACTCAAAGATGGCGGCAACCTTTCCAGCTATCATGGAAGTATGGGTAGTTGAGCACGATGAAAATTCATCGTAGGAAACAGTGTGAAAAACAGACGATGACGAAGAAGAAGCACACGTGACGAGTGCAGCGCTCGTCACGTGTTTCTCCGTCTTCGTCTGCTTTGTGCGCCGTTTCCTACGCTCTTATCAGTTTTGGTTTGGACTCAGGATGGGTCGGCTGCGCGCCCTTTCAGGGAAAAGAGACTGCAGATGCGGAAGGAGCCGCGACGTACGCAGCAGCGCGAATGGGTCTGCAACTGCCTCAAAGCCGCAGTCGTTTCGACTTCCACTGCATCCAGCACTTCAGATTCAGTTGCCAAAGAAGAGCGCATCGCTCGCCTGGAAAGCCGCCGCCAAGAATCGTACTAGCGATGTAAAGGGCGCCGGCAGGCCAACGCCACGGAAGACGATCGTGCCATGGAGGCAAAGCGCAAGCGAGAGGCCCGGCGACGACAGCACTCCACGCCGGCTGAACAGTTCCCGGGTGCGACGGCGAGGTTCCCGAGGGAGTTTGTGAAGAACTTGTTTGTCGTCACGTGGGCCGTGTGCGACCAACTCTGGTTTGCCGGAGACGCATCCACGATCGGCGGCGTGTCGGACAAGAAGAAACGGGAAACAGGCGCGTGCGCGTTGCGGCAGCGTATCGAGTACAGCTCGGCTGGTCTTTATTCTTCACGGAAGTGGAAAGGCTGAACGTTTTTTTTGCAGGTTTATCTTCATTCACATCCTCACACAATAGACGCTCACTTGCTCGACCTTGAACCACCCCACCATCCGAACGGCACACCCGGAGCCATGGCTGCCTTTCTTAGCTAGTCCCTCCTTTCCATTCTTCGCTTCCCTTGCTCGAAGACATGGAGAGGAGGGAAGCCTTGCAGAATCTCGAACTTGGTCGTCCGCCCTTAAACTGGAAAAATGCATTACTATGGGAGAGGGACAGCCTAGGAATTTTGGGGCTTCAAAAACTCCCCATGCTGGGCACAGCCTGGGTTCCTTTGAACTCACGTTTTGGAACAAGTGTGTTAAATAAAGATGCTGTCGCACTAAATTCTCTGCGTCACCTACTGGAGACCAGCCAGGGACACAAATTGGGCACCAGTGCTGCGCAAGCATCCTGATCGATCAAACACAAGTCCTATCTGAATGTTGACACAGCATTCTGATTCAATCTGTGACCTGCACTGGCCCTCAGTGGATGGCGTAGAAAATTCAACACTATGGCCTTGTTACGTAAAAGGTGTGGATGTAGCAGCGGGCAGGACAAAATCGGGAGAGGAGAGTGCCCTGCGAACTCACTGTTTGGAGGGATAGGAATAAAACTCCACCCCCGCTAGGGCCAACGACTGAACTGCATTCTAGTATTCAACACAAATAAATAAATTTCGCAGCAAAAACGTCAGCTGGTACCCTCCGCCAGACTTGTGACCATTGAGATGAACCTCGCACGCACGCGGGTGTGGGCTCCCCGAGGGTAAGACGAGCTCACCGAGAATGACTAAGGAGCGCCCCGTGAGGGAGCAGTTTTCCAAGTGCAGCGAGTGCAGGTGAGATCCTAGCCGGAGTGCCCTCCCCAGGATGAGCAGCGTCTGCTCACTCAGCGCCGTGTTCCTCGCGTCGAGGTGCTGCAGGCAGGAAGTCTGCAATGACAAGTGCCCAAGTTTCGCATTGCCGAAGCCTCCAGTTGACACAGAGGGCGTGACGATGAGAGATGACAAAACGACATCCAACACCTAAAAACACTGCAGTTTGAAACACGTCAATTGACGACAAAGTCTGTCCCTGACCGGTATGTTTACCCAGTCCTAGTTTGTGGTCCCTCGATTTCTGCCCAACGACGTCCTAGAAGTGTCATGCTGGTGCCCGCCTCGAGCCTAGCAGTGGTGCAACAGAGGAGGTAGACACAATAAAATCCCTGTTCTGCTGTAGCTCGCTCTCCAGCTGCACAGTCCACGCAAACGTCCGCGGCCACAAGTTGGGACACTGCGACGACAGCGACACTAAAATTATTTCTTCTGATTTGTCGGAAGTTCTGCGGCCAACCGCCAGGATCGCGACATCCGACAGCATGACACTCCTGCTTTTGTGACGTCATTAGTTGCCACTTACAAGACCGCTTTCGACGCATGGGTGATACACGACGCTAGGCAGACTAGTTGCAGGCAGGTCCTAGGCACTGCACAATTGTAATGCCTGCAGCTTGTCTCGAGGCCATGAGTTACGCCACAGATGCCAATGAGAGGACGACTTGGACCATAGCCGACCTGTGGGTTGGTCGTGGATGTTACCCATGTTGCAACTCAACCCGAGACTGGGGTATGATAGAAAAACTTAAACGTAGAAAGGACGGAAACCAGGGAAGAAGAGAAAATGTCTTAAACACAGCTAAAGGATTTATTCAGTCCCACCTCCTTATATACTCACAGCCACAAGGACACCAGCCACACAACTTGCCTCTTTTGGACACAATACACTCGGACACACAAAGGAACAACTACAACAAAATAATGGGATGCCCTCCTAGGGGCATCCCATTATCCTGTTCTAGTTGTTCCTTTGCATGTCCTGGTGTATTGTGTCCTAGCGAAGGCACGTTGTGCGGTTGGTGACCTTGTGGCTGCGAGTATAGAAGGAGGTGGGACTGAAATATTTTAGCTGCGCGTGACACATCTTTCTTCGTCCCCGTTTTCTCTCTCTTCTATGCTTAAGTTTCTATTCTATACCCCAGTCTCGGGTTAAGTTGCAACATGCAGGGCCGTACCCAGAAAAAAATTTCGGGGGGGGTTTTCGGGGACAACGGCGGCCATTTTGAAAGTTTCTATTGTCTTATTTTCGCCTATGAATCATGTGCATCGGTGGCATATAATGGAGAGTTACAGCAAACCGGAGAACCGGTCCCGGTTTGGTACCCGGTAGCCGACTGGCGCCACTGCGCGCGCGCAGAGGTGGAGATTAAAATCGGCTGGCTGCCAGCGCACCGACCAGGGCCGTACCCAGAAAAAAATTTCGGGGGGGGTCAGAACCCCCTATCCCCCCCCCTGGTTACGGCCCTGGCAACATGGTATATATCCACCAACTCGCTTGCACTCTAAGCATGTTTTTATGAGACGTGGAAGTGGTGCCGCAGCAGACAAAGGGGCACAGGCACCACAGAATCCGAACCCTGAAGAGATGTCTGCCATCCCTACCTATGCTGCCGAGCATGCCGACTGTTTCAAGAGTGACAACCAGCATGTGTTGCAACGATTAGAGGTGATGCACACTTGTGAGCTTGCCAAGTGGCAACGTGCCGTACAATGTAAATACTATGCGGTACATACGTCGGAGGCATTCCAGGCACTGTGCTGTAATACTGCGCTCAAAATAAAGAAATAATTTTAAAACCAAGCACAAACATGCTGTCAATTGCCCTTTAGAGGTTGTGATGTTCAGCATTCCAAAGTAAGGAACGAAGTTCCGCTTTGGCAATCGCTAGGAATATCTTTCCTGGATAATTAATATCATACTAAACAAACAAACTTTTTTTCCTTTTTGTCTCGGGGCTTGTAAATTCGTCTTGCTGACAGTCAGCAAACCCAGCTTGCATTGACCAAAAATAGACTCTTGAGTAGTGAATGCAGTGTGGAATGCTTAACAAAATATTTACTGCAGGTAGAAAAATAGGCATTAGGAAATGGTGTGATCACCCACAGTTCTCAAATTCCAAGAAATTCCATTTTAGCAAGATGTTGGGGACAACAGGATTCAGTCACATAGTGCACGAGTTTGAAAGCACCATGTTCTAAATTATGGTCTAAATATTCTGTGCAGTTCTTTCAAGGGCACTGTCCTTGTGAGGTGATTTGTACTTGGACAAGCAATCGTCCCAACTGAATATCTTGCAAAAACTTACCCTCTCATGAAAACGGTTTGAAAGCACTGCATACAACTTGCAAAGTGAGGAAAACCTAGCGACTTTAAACCAAACCGGTGTTTGCCAACACGTATATATGACAAAAAGGTCCAGAACGTACAGCTTCCGAGAGTGCCATACACAAGTTATCCCACCTTTTTGAGCATTCTTGAGCAAGCCTGCCATCCTCTCGAGTCTATGTTCCTGTTGTGCGAGATGTTGAGTCTCCTGGCAGACTCGTAGTACTCTATCATGTCGAACACGGTTGCTGCACCCTGCAAGAAGAGAAAATAAATATTACAACTCCGGTTAGTTTCGAGGGACCCCGGTGGTAGCCGTGCGACACCGTGGTTTACTGTCTGGTATCATATTGCTCCTATTGCTAGCCACCACACGTGGAACCTTGTTGATACGTTGCCGTTTTTCACAAAGTTCAGAAGCGCCAGTCCCGCCAAGCATCCGTAGGAACACATGTAAGTGCGTTTGCTTTTCTGGCTCAAACGTCTGAATAGTCGTTGGCCCAGCGCTGACCGATTCACCACGTGGACCGATCCGCCGACGGATTGATCACGTAACAGCACGCCCAAATAAAAAATAAAAAGAACACGGAGAAGACGACAGTGAGAACCGACCAATATGCTTTGCAATCGCACAGTGTCGCTGGATGCCAACAGCACACAGAGTCAGCGCACAGGGGCGCCGTGGGGCACTGCGATATTTGTAGTTGCGGCCGCGGCGGTATCAGATTACGACAAAAAAAATAATCGCTGTGTGCTGCCCTTACATTACGTACCGAGCGAGACAGGATACTATGGCAGACATAACACCAATGGGGCTCGGCGTAGAAGCCTCAAAGTCCTGAACTTGTGGAGAGGCATTTGCCGATGTCCTCGTCCCCGCGCACAATGCACAACACTTTAGTACACCACGGGTGCAAAAAGGTCTCGCCCAACCTCGTTGGGTCTCTGACTTGCCGGATGAAAAAAACTGGATGGATGGATGCGGAGAGCAATTCGTCTGCTTTTTATGCAGGAGTTGCGGTGACGTCAAAATGACGCCAAGCTCTAATTGGTCTTGATTGAAAGAATAGTGCGTAGACCTCAATGCTAAATGCATTGAGGTCTACCCACTATTTCTTTTCAATCAATCAATAAGAACTCGGTGTTCTGACGTCATCGCAACCCCTGTGCAAGAAGCAGACGAACTTGACAGAAACTTTTCAACCCGGACAAGCAGGAGTACCAGAACCTGCAGAGCGTCAGTCAGGAACAATTCCTATAGCTTCCTTCACGCGTGGAACAAAGAAGCGCGTAACATTACAAACCAGCGAATGAAAAAAAAAAAAGAAAAAGTTCACCATTTTTGTTTTGGACGGATGGATGTGTGCTAATGGCCTGCTAACAGCTTTACCTTTTCTAATGGGCGGTAGCTGGCGCAACTTAACTTAGAAACCAAAAGCATGATTTTCTCTCCCCCTGCCAATTTCCTTCCAAAACAAATCTTCTTGCCAGACAAAACATTTTTTAAGTCAATGCTCCACCAAACATTTGTTTTTGTCTAGCAAGATGATATCTCTTTATAACAAAATTTGGGGGGGGGGGGGGGGGGGGGGGGGGGGGGAATCATACTTATCGTTTTCAGGCTAGGTGGCGAAAACTACCGCCCGCTATAAAAGGTATGTTAGTATCCAACCGCCCATCCATCCATCCAATGGTGCACTATTGTGCTTCGCTTTTATTTCGCATATTTTGGTCATAAGCTGGTCCGTTTTGTCGCGCGATTCAGGTATCTGGAGGAACTGCTTACGGATGACACGCTGCAGGTTCTGGTTCTCCTCTGTGTCTATGTCAGGAAGCTTTTGTCAAAACTCGTCCAACACGCCGAGAAAAAAAAAAACATGTTTGTATTTGTATTGCATAATACAAACGGGGCGGCTTCAGACGGGGCAACTTTCTCAGCAATTTTGGGGCTGCTGGCAAGTTGTTCCCTAGCTTTCCCTAGGTCAACACGAATTGCTGAGATTGGGTCCCGCTCGAAACAAACGAGTAAGTCGGGGCGATTCGAAGACGTTTGAAGCGGCAGCAGCCAATAAGGGATGCAATATTTTCATGCGACACTCTGTGCCGGTGATCTTGACAACTAAAGGCTTGGTTCTTGTTTGAAATTGATCATTTTTTAGAAAAAGACTGCTTCAGAAAGATGAATTAGTACTCTCAACGCCCTTTAAATGTATGAAAACACGCTTATAGCGCGTAACTGTGTGTCTAAATAGTGCAAGAAAAATAAAGTTTAATGATGATGATAGCAAATTGCAGGAATCGGTTGCTGCGTGCGAACGCGGGTGGCCCATGTTGCTGGTGTTGCGACGTCAAGTTGCTAGGAGAAATTGCCCCTTCTGAAGCGCAATCATTCGCTCAAAGCGTCAGGCGGAAATTACAAGCTTTTTCTCCGACAAATGCCTACAAACTGTTTCTGAACGTATTTAGTTCACGCCGAATGATTACAACCTTTTGTTTTCAGCACGTTTATTCCAGTTTACAACTACGAATGTTTACAAACTTTATGGGCCAATCTGAGTTCACACGTTGGAATGTCTTTGTAAACTGTTTTGTGACAGTTGCTCTCTGTCTCATCTTTAGTGCCCCACGAAGGGCGTTCTCGTCCTTTACGTAGAAGGGCGTTCACATGCTTGCGTTTTCCCGAATCATAAGTTTACTTACTCCAGAACCCAGAAACACGTATCAATGAAGTTCCACTGCACTACAGAAAATACTATACCAATTTATAAAATAAAAATATGATTACTTGTCCCAGAAACCGATTGAGCAGACAACTGATTGTACTGTAAGCGGTGCAACCATACCCGATTAAAAGACTTCAGCTTTACTTGTAAATCCAAAAAGAAGACAAACTCTTATCAGAAGTCTACATTCTGACTTCATTAATTTCTGCTAGTTTATTCCCATCTAATTTATTGTATCATAGATCATTTGAAAAAAAGAAAAAGTACACTGAGTGATATGAAAGGTGAAAGGCATCTTTTATGAACAAACCTTTGGAACTGAGAGAAGATATAACCACATTTCTTAAGAGACCCATCCCATAATAGCTGCACTGCAAGTAATAGTGTAATTGTAAACAACAAATATACTGGTAGAAGAGCACTCCCCGTCTGGCACACTTTAATCACAGTAAACTACATGACATTGCTTGAGTACCTTACCAACTTTAGAGGTGTGTCAACAGAATTTTCTAGAAATGCCAAGACATGAGCAAAAATAAGACTCACCTCATCGTCCAAATGGCACGCTTCTAGGCTGATGCTGTCGAACTGTACAACTTTGAAAATGTCTTCCATAGCTTCACAGTGCCGTGCATCTAGCCTCTCCCCTGTGCAAGCAAAACAATGTGATAATATAAGGAAAAGAACATTAGACAGAAACAAAAATCACCACACTCAAAATAGAATGTCAAAGACCACAAAGATTTGGAAAATATTTCCCTCTTGTTCAACTACATGTGACCTCATGGCTTTTAGTGGTAACAATACAATAATGGTTGCAGCACGCTAGTTGTTTTCTTTTTAGGTGCATTTGCAACCTACCACGTTGAACCAAACGTTTCCACTGGAGATTGTTAAATATATATTTTTTGTGATAGCTTCACCCTTTGGCAAGTTTGTTGGCGTGAAACACCTTAGATCAAGGATACATCGCACCTATAAAGGACAACCGGAGGGTAGCCTTCCTAGTATGAACTAAAAATGTGTTTAATATTAACTGACAAATCATTATGAAAATTATGCGTAAATGGGATTCAAGATACCAAAAAAGCTATCTCTCTACTCTGCGGGTGTCGCTTCTTTACGGTGCACCAGTGCGATGTAAGAAGAACACTCGACGGACCTAACTAGCCTGCCTGAAGTGACTGCTAGCAATAAGTTATTCTATGTGACAATCGAGAGTTCAGAAGTTCGCACAAGTCTGCCATAAAGATCCGGTCGTGTAGCAGTGACTCAGAGCTGAGAAAGTGAAATTAGCTTTCGGTGCATTGTTGGCGCAAACTCCTCACATTTTGGTGCAATGTAGCAGGATGCAAGAGGATAAATACTCTGGCACATTTTCCTGTAAACGGCACAGCAATCGCATAACTGGAGCCTCCATTAACAGCAATAAAAAATTGCTTGAAAGGGAGCAAAACGATCGCAACAATGATCCCGTCAACCGCAAAATTTTATTTAATAAACCTTTTCTGAAAAAAAAAAAAACGGTTGAATTGCAGGCGAGTTGGTGTAAGTTATACATGATTATTGAAACCTAAGACTATGGTTTAAAAAACAGAAACTCGTGAAGGAGGAAGAAAAGGGACAGACAACGTTTTTTCCTTCTTTACGAGCTTCCGTTTTTCAAACCACAGTCTCAGGTTTCAATCATTATACGGACCTTTTCTCTTAGCCGACAGAATTACGGGCTAACAAGTTGGAGGATCAACCTATTCTTGGGGGATGTGCGTTTACAGACTTTATCAATGTTTCCACCTAAAAAAAAAAAAAAATCCTGCATGTTATTTTTTTTTTAAGTGTGGTGAAACTAAAACTTATCAGACCCAATTTTTTATATTTTTGAGTAAAAAGTCTGATCTACCATATAAAATCGAGCACAAAAAGACTCGTTCACACAACAAACTCAGATATCAACAAACAATCATTTTGCATTACCTACTTTTTGGTAAAAAAAAATTAATGGTTCAGGCCTTTTATCTTTTTTTTTTTTGTCTACCATTTTGCTTCCTTGATATTTAAAAAAAAAAAAAAAAGAAGAGCCCTATACCTTTGCACAACATTACTAGAACATTCAGTCAAAAACTCACCCATGAAACCCCCAGTATGCTCGCATCCACCGGCACAAAACTAAACACGACTACAGTGCCGCCCTCTAGCGGCGAGTCAAAACATGAAAGTTGCTTTATGTAGCTACTGTGAGATGGCGCTACCGGCCCTAGCGCGACTCAACTGGACCAGTGTGTGCACCAGTGCAGTTCCCATAGTGGCCACCGTGGGAGAAATGGCAGTGCTGTGATCGCATAAACGGTACATTGACATTTCATTCTACTAACAATGTGGCTTAAAAAAACAAAGAAAACAACAAAACATGCAGGCTTACACTGCAAGACATCGAAAAAGAAGTAAGAAAAACCCAAGCATTACAGATGTATTGTTATTGGCGAGGAGACTGAACTATTGGGGATGCTACGTCCCGCTTGTTTTCCCCAAAGTTCTGTGTTTACCAACATAAGGCACGTGCACTGAATTCTTTCTCGACTGAACGCAGGGCAAGGTTTGGGAACCACTTGTGCCCCATTTTTTTTTTTTTTGCAGTGTTATTGTTTGGTTTCACTGACTGAACACGAGCCCCAGCTGAACGCTGAAGTAACATTCGGCTACATGGTTCGAGCGCTGCCTCAAAACGCAAACGAATAATCTATGTTGTTGTTCTTCCCATTGGTGTAGTTCTCATTTTAGCCACCAGGGGCGCAACGGTATGATCACCTTCTTATACAGGGTGCAAGGGAAGCAAGTATCTATATACCTTTGAGGTTGAGATCTTGTGTCCGGTCACCAAATATTGTGATCGACTGCAAAGAAAAAAAAAACACCAGAGTAAGAACTCTAATTAGCCCACGTTGCTGGTTGATAACGATTGGAAACTTATGCCTGAAAGAAAACTGCAGCACAGATTACGTACAGTAGGATTTATTGCTACATTCGAGAGATGGAGCAACATGTCGCAATTAGAAAGTGCCATGACGACAACTGTGAAACAGTCTTGTGTAACCTCATTCATCCTCTAAGAAAAAAAAATAATCATGCTCAATAACCTTAACGCAATAACAGAAGAAAGGAAGGCACACGCGACTATGCAAAAGTGACTGCAGGCGCATCACTCACCTATGCCATCTGCTTTTAGAAAGCCTGTATTACATAGAATCTCCAACTGCTCGGTCGGGATCGGGTGGTTTATGGGTCGCATTTGCAACGTGTCAATCGTAATGTAAACGTCTCAGCCCTCCTGCTTGCTTTCCTTCTTGCCACCTGACAACGCAGCGCATGCACACTTGCGACGAATCTCCGCAGGAGGTGCCCGTCGTTAATTTGCAAACGCTACCCGCGGTTTGAGTTGGACCCTCTTTATAATCTGGGCTCTATATCTGCTTTCAAGGACCTGTGGCGCCCTCTCTCACATACACACCAGAACAGATTCTCGACTCAACTCCGTTGTCTGCGTCAGCGCCCGCCGTTCAAGTCTTTGCTGTTCTAACATTTCGCAGAAGCGGAGTTACGCCACGAAATTTCCCAGGGTAAAATTCACCACTAAAACACACCTTCAATGAAAATTTGAGCTCACAACTTCAAGAAATTGACTCTTGCAGCTCATTTTACGACCAGCCTCAAAAACGCTGCCACTTTATATTTCCACTCGAAACGAGCGGATACCAAAAATGAAAGTGAAATGGAACTCGTACTCTGCTTCGAAAGTTTGTTCTGTCCAATGTAGTTCTTCACTTTATACATTTCACACAATGTTCATTTCACTCGAAGTATAAAAACCACCAGCTACTCTGTACATCTCACTTCAGGCACAATTTACACGTAAATTATTCAACAGTGCTACATCTCTATAACTCTGGAGCCCGAGAATGCGGGAAGTAAAATCATTACGGAGTTTCTTGAGAAGCCTCCTACGTCACTGATTTTTGTAATTACCACCATCTCGCTTGCCTTGTCAATATTACAACTACCCACAAATAAAATATGAAGCATCCCCTACTAAAACAGATAATCGATTGTGCGATTGTTCGTATAAAAGAAGACTTTATTAGCTTCAACAGGTAGACTTGGATTATTTGCATAATGAAAAAGCACATATAACGAAAACGAGAAGCTACAAGAGCAAACAGATAATCAAGAACTAAATTTGAAGCCCAGAAGCTCACATTCCCGGATTTGTCCTTGATTGATATGCATGCAAATACACTGGATACGGCGGACGAAGAAGTCTTTCCCCTCGTATATATAGGATGCGCTTAATGGAGAAATTATGTTTGCATGTCTTGCATTCTTCTGGACTTCCTTCTGTTTTCGTGCTGAACTGTTTCTGATGTTGAGCCAGGAAACGGTGAGCGCAAAGGATCGAATTTAGCACGCGAGATGGCGAGCTGAGCGCAGCTCCGAACTGTTTTAAAATTAGAACAATAATAATGTTTAAAACAAAAACTGCTCCAGCGCCCGCACCCTTGCTATATATTTTTGTATTGTTCTTGCAGCATCGCGGAATCAGCATCGCTAGTTCAAGCCAAAGTTAAAACTTTGCCTTTTCTTTTAGTCCATTAAACTAGAATAAAAAAAAATTAAAAAAAAACAATCGGCTTAAATTGGTTTGCTTCGAACTCGTCATGCTGAATAATTGACGAGGTACACGCAGCGAGTATCGCAACTCTAACGCCCTATAGGTGGCGGGGCGGTAGTTCCAAGATGGCAGAAGAGACGGGGATAAATTTTCCAGGATTTCCCATGCGCCTGCTCGCTGACGCTGGTCAGCGCGCTAAAAATGATTTATTTGTCTACAAATGAGAAGCGTTAATGCACGTTAGGAATTAAAAGTTGCTAAAACATTAGCTGGCAAAGATTTGTGGTGGGCTAGTGCGTTTTAAGCATTGGCCACGTCAGTGTTTGTGGCCGAATATTTTTCAGGGTGATGAAGATATCATTTTTGCGCTTTGCCTGGCCATTAGTGCTCTAAAAAGTGAACAGTGAACGGTGACCGTCAACCTTCGGAAAAGCAGCGTTCACAGTAGTGGTGTCTTCGTGTCACAGGCTCATAACTTGCTGCTCACCGTCTCGGTTTTAGTGTATTGCAACACCTGATCAAACTGCTCTATGGTTATATATAGAAAGTTTGTTACCGCAGGCTACCGTGCAATGTAGCATTATAACCGGAAGCTCGCACTGCACATTTGAAGCGTAATTCTCAGCGCGCGCCAGAAGCGTTGCCGTGCTCATCACTCAAAAAAAAAGAAAAAAGAAAAGGTTGTAGTCCTTACACTTTTTCTCACATATACGACACCTCAAAACTTCAGTTCGCCGTGCAGTGCATTGACGTCAAACTGACGGCCTCAGCGTTTGCGAGAGGCTTGATGACGGTGCGATATAATAGCTAAAGTATGCATCAAAGAGTACAGAGAAAAACAAAAACACCTAGGTTTCGTAGTAAGATTAAGGAAACCCCAATTACTTTTTTTTTTTTACAGTCATGTACACTCTCTTAAGCTATTTTAATAAGTTGTACAACTCAGCTATCAAGCTGCTCGTGACATTTGATAGCGTCGGTTGAACGTCAGTGCGCTGTACGTCCAACTGAAGTTTAGGTGTATCGTATGCTATGCTAAAACTTCCTATTAACATAATCGGCATGTTTAGGGGACTTATTTATTGCTCTATCGAAAATAAATATTTTTATATACCGTACATTTTTTGTGCCGTGTTATTGACAACGCTGTGGTCCCTCTCACCAAAACTCCCCGTTCTAAGCTCTCATCATGAACGGCTGGCTAACACAGACGCGCTTAAAATACTTCGAGCATCTCTTTATTCGCTTTGTAATTACCTGAAAGCAACTACGCATATTTTGTCTTTTTAAAGTGTTTGGAATAAATGGTCATGTTCTTTGTCACGGCCTTAAAACGCGAAAACCTTTCCAATGTGCATCGCTCGACATACCGTTGCGCGACGAGTGTTCTCCTACTTATGGCAAGAATAGACTTCTCGTAGACGTTACTATAGAGCTCTTTATTATTAGCGGAAGCATTTGTCGTCACATTGAGCACAGATTGAGCTGGCGGCCATGCACGAGACCAGAAATCCGCAGCGTATCCGATATACGAAAAGTCCCTAATAAAATTAGACATCCCAGTCATTCGTGCAACGTTGTTGCAAGGCGGAGCATAAAGTGCAGACCGCATGGCGCGTTTTTGCTCGCGATTCAGGCACGTCGGCGTCAAACTGACGTCATTTCCTGTGCGCGGGCACGCGTTTTTGCGGGAGCGTTCTTTTCTAGCCAACCCAGAACAAGACGCGCACGCCGAGGAGTCGAAGCGGGTATCGCCCAATGAGGGTCGGTCAAACTATCACGTGATCCTGCACAGTACGCTGTTTCGTATTCAGCACATTTCAAAGTGTTCAAAAGCATTTTTATTTTCCATATAAAATTGAAAAGGTGTTTCTGCTGACACACAAACCCGTTTTATTTACTTATTTGTTCATTTAATTCTCATTCTGTAGTATTTGCGTCTACATTTACATCGCGTGTTGAGAATTCTGTTATCTGGCAATGCTAATAACACGCGGCCGGCGGTTCTTGCCTTTGTCTGCATGCGGGTGCCCCCACGTTAACTTCCACGCGAGCATCATAGCGCGTCGCATTTTCGCGTGCAAAAAAACGTGCCATGCGGTCATCGCTTAAAGTCGTACTCCGGCGATTTCTCCATGGTCCCCAATTTGCTTAAAATTTTGCTAAGCTCGCCAAACATTGCCAAAATAGTACCCCAAATATTAGGTCAAAATAATTTTTTTTCACTAAGGTATTGAATTTACAATTTTGGTCCTCACCGTGTTTTTCAAACTGAAAATCTCTACTGGCAACAACGAAAAAGTGACGTCAGTGGAAGTGCAGGGATTCACTCTTTGGACTGTAGAATTTGTTCTCAACTGATTGGAAGCAGTTTCATGGTGTCAAATGAATGCTTTGGAAGCTCGCTCCAGCACGGAACAAATGATTGGCATATTCTATTTTTTAGACTGCTCGCTCGACTGGCAAGCTGGCCTTCCACTGACGTCACGGCACTGAAAAGTGTGGGAATATTTGAATGTTGGTTTTTGCATCATTTTCATTTGCCGATTTCGCAATAACTATTATGAATTTCGCGATACAAAATAGCATACTGGAAAGGGTAAAGGCCAAGGAGTCAGAAAATATAGTTAGTTGAGGTAGCTCAAAAAATCGCCGGAGTACTCCTTTAGGAATTCATATTTTAACACGCTCACTTTTTCCTTAAAACTGCTTCACGCATCAAGGCCGACAGTCCCGCGAGAGGGAGAGTGGCGGGCTGGAGTTGCGATATCTCCCGTGTTGCCGGATAAATCCGAAAAACTCCGAAGAGCACCCACCGGTAAAATGTTTGTCGATTCGAATTTTTCCGATAAACTCGAAATTTCGATGTTAAAATGCAATAAAAAAAATATATTTAATAAACTGGCCAGCAAACCTTCAAGCGAGCCAAGTCGCCAAAATCTGCCAACTCTAGCGTGCGGCGCGAGGCGCAATCATCAGCGCAGTCAATGCCACGGAGTTGGAGCGGCCAACGTTGAACCACTACGTCAGAGGCATGACTACGTCATTCTCGCGTTTTGCTTGTTTTTACTTCTCAGAGCGAAACTGAACGATGACGTCATGAGTTTCTCCTTTCGGTGTTGGCTGACCGGGCGTTCATGTGACCCCCGTAACGCGGATGCGCTGGTTTGCGCTGCCCTGCGCGCTTATCGGTCTGTTTCTCAGCTCCCCTTCTCTTTCGTCTTCTCC